GTTGGGCTGTTTGTTCTTCCTTTCATGGGCGTGTTGGGTGTTTTCTACTCTGTATATATTTCAAAACTGAAAGTTACATGTAGTCCTTTGCAAACACGTAGAACTCTTCTGTTGCAAGTGTCCTTCAGCCTTACTATTTAGTGCTTTTGCCGTCATCTGTTCTGGAGGTTAAATGAAACAAAATGGTTTATGCAGAATAGAAAACAAATTTCTCTGTGGAAAATCTAGGGGAAGAGATATTGGCAATTCAACAAGTAAGAATTAATATGCTAGGTATTTAAAAATGTGCTGAATGCTTCTTGTGGAAATTTATGTGTGCCGTGGAAATTCATGTGTGCCATGGAAAAATGCATTTCAAGTGCTTCATAGCAAGATCACAGAATCATAGAGTAGGTATGGATGGAAAGGATCTTAAGATCATTTACTTCCAGCCCCTCAACCCTGAGGCAGGGACACCTCACCGTAGACCATGTCACTCAAGGCTCCGTCCAACCTAGCCTTGAACACCACCAGGGATGGAGCATTCACAGCTTCTTTCAGCAACCTGTTCCAGTGCCTCACCACCCTCACAGTAAAGAACTTCTTCCTTATATCTGTCCTGAACTGTCCCTGTTTAAACCCATTGTCCCTTTTCATATTGCTACAGTCCCTAATGAAGAGTCCCTCGCCATCATCCTTACAGGCCTCCTTCAGATACTGGAAGGCTGCTATGAGGTCTCCACGCAGCCTTCTCTTCTCCAGGCTGAACAGCCCCAACTTCCTCAGCCTGTCTTCACAGGAGAGGTGCTCCAGTCCCCTGATCATCCTCGTGGCCCTCCTCTGGACTTGTTCCAACAGTTCCATGTCCTTTTTATGTTGAGGACACCAGAACTCACACAATACTCCAAGTGAGGTCTCATGAGAGCAAAGTAGAGGGGCAGGATCACCTCCTTCGACCTGCTGGTCACACTCCTTTTGATGCAGCCCAGGATACGGTTGGCTTTCTGGGCTGCGAGCCCACACTGAAGCCAGCTTGTGTTTCTTATTGACCAACACCCCCAAGTCCTTCTCCACAGGGCTGCTCTGAATCTCTGCCCAACCTGTAGCTATGCCTGGGGTTGCTCCGACCCAGGTGTAGGACCTTGCACTTGTCATGGTTAAACTTCATGAGGTTGGCATCAGCCCACCTCACAAGCGTGTCAAGGTCCCTCTGGATGGCATTCCTTCCCTCCAGGGTATCAACCAAACCACACAGCTTGGTATCATTAGCAAACTTGCTGAGGGCGCACTCAATCCCACTGTCCATGTCACCGACAAAGATGTTGAGCAACATCTGTCCCAACACCGATCCCTGAGGGACACCACTTGTTACTGGTCTCCAGCTGGACATTGAGCCATTGACCACAACTCTTTGCATGCAGCCATCCAGCCAGTTCTTTATCCACCGAGTGGTCCATCCATCAAATTGATGTCTCTCCAATTTAGAGACAAGGATGTTGTGTGGGACAGTGTCGGGTGCTTTACACAAGTCCAGTTAGATGACATCAGCTGCTCTACTCCTGTCCATCAGTTCTGTAGCCCCATCATAGAAGGCCACCAAATTGGTCAGGCAGGATTTCCCCTTAGTGAAGCCATGCTGGCTGTCACCAAGCACCTTGTTGTTTTTCATGTGCCTTAACATGCCTCCCAGGAGAATCTGCTCCAAGATTATGCCAGGGACATTGGTGAGACTGACTGGTCTGTAATTCCCTGTGTCATCCATTTTCCCCTTTTTGAAAATGGGGGTTATATTTCTCTTTTTCCAGTCATTGGGAACTTCACCTGACTGCCACGATTTTTCAGATATGATGGACAGTGGCTTAGCAACTTCATTTGCCAGCTCCTTCAGGACCCGCGGATGGATTTCATCAGGTCCCATGGACTTGTGCATGTTCAGGTTCTCAAGACGGTCTCAAACCAGATCCTCTTCTATAATGGGCCCAAGATCTTCATTCTCACAGTCCCTGTGTCTGCCTTCGAAGACTTGGGTGGTGTGGTCAGAGCCTTTGCCAGTGAAGACCGAGGCAAAGAAGTCATTAAGAACCTCAGCCTTCTCCAAATCCAGGGTAGCCAGTTCTCCTGATAGCTTCCGGAGAGGGCCCGCATTTTCCTTAGTCTGCCTTTTGTTAGCAACATTCCGATAGAAGCCCTTCCTGTATCTCTGATAACCCTGGCCAGACTCAATTCTAACTGGGCCTTAGCTTTCCTGACCTGGGCCCTAGCTTCCCAAACAGTGTCCCTGTACTCTTCCCAGGCTGCCTATCCTCACTTCAACTTTCTATAAGCTGCTTTTTACCTTTTTAAGTTTTTGCAGCCTGTTTGCATATTTCAGGAAGATGGCTGTCTTTGCCTCTCTATTCAACATTTTTATGGGTTGTGTTGTTTTTTTCTTCTATGACATATGCAGGTTAAATTCAATTTTTGTGAGTCTTCCTGTGTGCTTATTTAGAGGCCATGTGTGCTTACTTGTATTAGAGCATGTGTAATAACATAGGAAAAAGTAAGTGGTATAGAAACTTCATTAATACATGTTTGTGGGTCTGTGTATTGTTACACTGCTAAGTCTGCTGAAAGTTTTCAAACTCCAAAAGAAAAATTTCCATATAGCTTCGTAAATTTTAGGTTCTGTAAATGCCACATTTTAGAGCCTTTTCAAGAAGTTTGGGAGGCTTTTGTTCTTTTCCAAAATATTTTATTGGAATTCTGGTTTTCAGTATTACTGTTGCCAAGCTTACTTTCCTATTACCAAGAATCCTAATGCATAGGACTTTGAGGTTAAAGTAAAGTATCTCAAAAAAGACCTGCTTCAAAAGGTCCTCTGTTCAAAACAGCCACAGATGTGCAGATGGAACTGTCAGGACTGAAAACAAGTGCTTAGTATCTTACGATACAGTTTTAGATTTTTATAGTATAGATGAATTTCAAGATCCCAGGTCTGAAATTTATCAGTGATTAAAGAAGATACAACTTGAGGGGGGGAAACTTCTTGCCTTTTCTTTGAAAGCCGATTTTGAAAACAGTGTAATTTGAACTAGGTGACATTTCAAGTAAATTCCGAGATGTAGAAACGTATTAGTAAATGAGTAAATATTGCAATAAACCCCATTTTATAGTATAAAACAATAATGCAGTTTATATTTTGGTTTTCGTTATGGCAAAATGCTTTTTCGTTTAAAGCAGTGTGCAACATGGATTTGTAGCTTCACTTCTTAAAAAAAAGAGGCAAAAGTAAGTTAGTGGAAAAAGGTGAAAAAGTGGTGTAAACTTACCCTTATCTGTAATTGCTTTTATCACCACCAGGGAATGTATAAACAATTTTTATATTGACCTAGTAAATAACTTCAATAATTTCAAGTTTTTAAGGTCTTTTTTGTCCTTTTCATTGAACTACTCATCTGACTTTCCTATTGTTCTCTTGATTTGCTTTTTTTTTTTTTCTAATTAGTCTTCTTTTCCTGTCTTCATCTTCTTTAGCTAACTCAGTCTGTTGCTGTCTTGTCTTGCCTAGTCTTTTCCCATCTCAAAACCATTTTTTTGCTATTGTACTTCTACCTTATTTTCCCCTTCCAGAAGAACTGAACTCCTCTCTTTTTTGTCCTTTATCTCAGACATCTACAGCCTTTATTGTACAAGATTTTCATCCGCAGACCTCAGCATTGATGGAGTTCCAATTCTTTAGCGCTCTCATCTCTCCGCTTGTATAAGTTCTAGTAACCTACAGATGCTGTCAACTCAGAAAAGTTGAGACTACTTTGGGATTTTGCCTGTGTTGCCCTTAAGGGTCAATAAGAAGAGTGAAGCAAAAGAGAGGGCAAAATTTCTGTGATCTGGACTGTGTAGATGAAATTGATTTAGTTTCACTTTAAAGTGTCAGGAAGAGTGGAGAAAGAATAAATCTGGTGTAAGAATCATGAACTTCCGTGTTCAGTGATCCATGGCTTACTAAAGAATATGTAAGACATAAGATTCCTTGATTCATGGTTTTTTTTTGTTGGTTTATGTTTACTTTTTTTTTGTTAATCCTTTGATAAACATTTTTTGTGTTCCACAGTACCGGAGTACTTTAAATGGGTAAATAATTGTCTTTTTCACTCTTCATGGGACCTCTTTACAATCTGTTATATATTATCTGAAGGATTGCTCTTTTATTTTTTTCTCTAACAAGCTACATACTGTTGGTATTCTCACCAAAAATCTATGCCATCTCGTTTCATGGATGCCTTCTGAAGCTCAAGGAAATAAGTATTAATGTAATTAAAAGTAAAACTTAAACTGCATTCACAAGTGTTACAATAAGATACAAGCGCTGTTTGCTTCAGAACTGTGCTTGCTTTCCTAGAACTTTACAGAGTAACAGTTTTCAGCAGCTTCTTCAGAGGGTGATTTTTGTCCTTGCAGTTGATGTTCCAAGTTTTTGAGCACTGAGATGGTAAAAGGTATTGAACATTCTTTGTCTGGCTCAAACCTTTATTCTGTATAAATTAAAGAGCAGTTACATAGAAATTGAAACTATCTGTTTCTGTATGTTGGCAAGTTTTGGCAAAGAGGGTCTGTATCAGTGAAGGGGTATTGATGTGCGTGCATCAAAATAAACTCACAATAATATGGTGTAGAACAGGAAGACTTAGCAACGTGTTCCTCAAGGAGGTATTTATCTAGTGTTGTAGTGTAGCAGTACCACATCCTCATGCTTCTGTATTGTATTTTATATTTTAGTTTGCCTTGCTCCAAATGTAAAGTTAATTATTATTTTTAGAAATTATCATATAATCATAGCTCTTCTCAAAAAATAGCTCATGAGGCTATGGTAGCCCAGGAAATTTAAGATTGTACTTTTGTTCTTGCAGAAAGTAGTACTATGTAGGTCAGCTATCCTTACCTGAGAAAGACATTGTATACTGAATGTACTCTTAAAGAAATATTACGGAATTTCGATTTGATTAACCAGAGAGGTAAGTTTGTGATCCTCTTACCTGTTCCAGGTTACATGTCTCCACACCCTTCTCCGCTAGGAGCACCAGAGCATGTGTCCAGTCCAATGTCTGGAGGAGGTCCAACTCCACCCCAAATGACTCCCAGCCAGCAAGGACCCATTATGCCAGGAGACCCGCAAGCTATGAATCAGCCTAACAGAGGTCCTTCGCCTTTCAGCCCTGTACAGCTGCATCAGCTGCGGGCTCAGATTCTAGCATACAAAATGCTAGCTAGAGGTCAGCCTTTACCAGAAAACCTTCAGCTTGCTGTTCAGGGCAAGAGGACACTCCCTGGCATTCAACAGCAGCAGCCTCCTAATGCCTTCAACAGACAGTCTGGTAAGTGAATCTAGGCCTTGTGTCATTGCACAGGTAATTAATTTGCTTGTGGAAAATGAAGAAATGGGTGCTGTGCAGGGCTGTAATTTGGGATTGTATTCAGGTGTTTTAAGTGAACTTTGGTTTTAAGCTTGAGCAAGTACGTAAGACACATCTGTTACTAACAGGATATTGTCAAAACTGAAATAAAAGAATTTTCACTGTGCAGTGCTGTGTCTATCCTGATTATACTTTTCATTTTTTGAATGTTAATTATACTTTACTGATCATAATTTTACTGTTTTTCACAGAGTGAATTTTCAGACTCTGATCACTGTGCAAAAAAAGTAGATAAGAAAAGAGGGAGCACACTGACAGATTATTTAGGTTGTGAAAGTAAAACCATGTATAGTGTGCTTTCAAGTGAAAAACGTAAGGAAAGAAAAGGGTTTTACTTTTATCTCCTGATGATAATAGAATTACAATCAAGCATGTTTTGGTCCTAAGAAAAGGACCAAAAAAGTTAAACGCCCTGCACCTATTTGTTTGTAAACACCTCCATTGCTGAGTTTGCATTAGAAATTGAGGGTTAAGATGATAATGATCATAATTTCACTGGTCACCTAATTTCTGTGGGTATGGTTTTGCTACTGAGTAAGGGTTTTTAGGAGACAGAGGACAGAGGAGAATGGACAGAGCCTTGGGTGACATGGTTTAATGTGAGGTGTCCCTGCCCATGGCAGGGGGTTTGGAACTAGATGATCTTAAGGTCCTTTCCAACCCTAACTATTCTATGATTCTGTGATTCTATGATTCTGTGATTATTTTAATATGCTTCATTGCATATATTTTTTCACAATAAAATCTATGTAAATTCGTATTTAATGAAGAAAAATGCTACTTGCCTGAATACACTAGCATGCTGGAAAAGAATGATTTTTGAATACTTCAGAATGCTTTGTGTCTTAGTAAGTTTATTTTCTCTGTCCAATTGCAGGGATTGGATTACATACAATGAGTGGTGCTGCAACTGGACCAGGCCCTGCTCCAGGGATGCCTGGGCATACAGCTACCATTACCCCTAAAACTTGGACAGAAGGTACAGCAGGGTATAATGGTAATTTTACATCATGTGTACAGGGATATGGTTAAACAGCGTAGGAGAGGTTGGGGAAAAGATACCGGGTTTTAAAGAAAAAAAGAAGGTAGAACTACATGCAGAAAAACAGTATAACCTTTGCTATGACTGTGACTTGAATTAAGGAGAATCTAGCCATTTATTAATCTATGAATTACTTGACCACATGAAATTACTGCAATTGTTAAGCAGCCTGAATACGAAGTACCTTTTTCTTGATCAGAATGAAGTACATAAGCTGCCTGAGAGACACCCATAAAATCTACTTAATATATTATGTTCTGACCATATTAATTAGATTGCTTTGAAAGTTCAGTGTAGTGAGTTCTAGTGAAGAATGTAATATTTTCGCCCTGCATAATAATCAGGTTTTGAACCAAATCGTTCAGATCCGGGTTTACAGGCTGTAAAATTACAGTATCGCAGGCTTGCAAATAATGTAGGCTTCTCATACAGTAGAAGTGTTATGTTGTTGCTTGTGAGTACATCTGGGGACAGTGATGACTCTATGATAGGTGCTGTCACAAAAAATTCATTGGCTTCTTAGGGCAACATGAAAAGAAAATTAAATACTAATATGTAATCAGATGTAGAATTGCTTTTCTTGGAATATTCCGAAAGAGTACTTACAATTTGAGTAGGATAATAAACAGGGAGGAAAAGTGTTTCTTGAGAGGTTGTATGTCTGAGTTTGCTAGGCACTGTGCCTTCTAGCTCAAATGCTGCTAGTAAAAAATGCTGACAGAGATGAAGAATTGCTGGATGGATGGATAGTTCTTATCTAAATAATCTAGGATGTCGTAATAATAACAGTCTGTCCTGTTTAACTATAAGCTGCTTATTGTTTGTCCTTTTTAACTGCTGTTTATTTAGTAAGAAAAATGCTGTCTGTCCTTGCTGTGTCTGTTTGAAAGTTTTATTTAATGCATTTTTTAAAGTTGTGCTTATTCCTTTAAATTTATTTTTCATTCATTACATAGTTTGTTTAGCAGTTTGTTTTGCAGTTTGATTTGTATGTTTTACAGTTTGATTTGCATCGAACTGAAAACTGAGGCAGCACAAGGCGTTCGGTGGGCTTGCTTTCTTCCCGTATTTTAATAAGCTGAAATTCATTGTTGCAAAATACAAGTTCTGCAGCTTGTGCTCAAGTTCCTTTACTTGAGTTTGGTGCAGATGTGTGAATGACAGATGGTGATCTCTGAAGGAATCTTTTTATGTAGCTTTCAGAATATTGGATTTGAATTAAGGTTGATTACAGGATTGCAGATGTACTTTGCAGTTAAATTCCTGTAATTCCTCACAAAATTAAGTGACGTCTTCATTGTTGCATGTCTGTTGTCAGTGGCAATTTGTGAACATCTGAATGATTCGTGACTTGTTGTCATAATGGTATACTGAAATCTGTGACCCTTAGTGTTTGTAAATGGCAGGTACAATTTTCAGGTAAATTGAGGTCTTAAATTTCAAGACGATTACCTGAACACCTGACAGTATTCAAGGCCAGGCTGGACAGAGCCTTGAGTGACATGGTCTAGTGTGAGGTGTCCCTGCCTATGACAGGGGGGTTGGAACTAGATGATCGAAGGAGGTGATCCTGCTCTTCTGCTCTGCTCTTGTGAGACCTCACTTGGAGTATTGTGTACAGTTCCGGTGTCCTCAACATAAAAAAGACATGGAACTGTTGGAACAAGTCCAGAGAAGGGCCACGAGGATGATCAGGGGACTGGAGCACCTCCCATATGAAGACAGGCTGAGAAAGTTGGGGCTGTTCAACCTGAAGAAGAGAAGGCTGCGTGGAGACCTCATAGCAGCCTTCCAGTATCTGAAGGGGGGATATAGGGGTGCTGGGGCTGGACTCTTCATTAGGGACTGTAGTGATAGGACAAGGGGTAACGGGTTAAAACTTAAACAGTGGCAGTTTAGATTGGATATAAGGAAGAAATTCTTTTGTGTTAGGGAGGTGAGGCACTGGAATAGGTTGCCAGGGAGGGTGTGAATGCTCCATCCCTTGTGGTGTTCAAGGCTAGGTAGGACAGAGCCTTGGGTGAGATGGTTTAGTGTGAGTTGTCCCTGCCCATGTCAGGGGGATTGGAACTAGATGATTTTAAGGTCCTTTCCAACTGTAACTGTTCTATCATTCTATGTTCTTGCGGTCCTTTCCAGCTGAACCCATTCTGGGATTCTGTGATTAGAATGCTGTAAGATCAAGCAATAATTTAACTCCTAGTATTTGAAAAACTTAAATAAAATTAATAGGAGATTGTGACAAAAAACAAAAAAAGCTATTTACAGATGACAGGTACTTCTGAGTAGAAATTTTAATGGCTATCTATTTTTCATGCTGGTGTAAAAGCAGACCTGCTGTTACTTATTGTCAGGTTGAGATTATAAATGCCATCTTCTATGTGGTGCAAGGACAGAGAACAAAAGGCAGACTTATGTCCTACACTGAATTAATTCTACAGCTGTTTCACTTCTTCTAATGCTAGAATTAAAAGCAGGAATGGGAAAAGAAATGGCATTCATCGTAAAGTTTCAGGTGTCTTGTTTTGCTTTGGGTCACTTCTTGCAATGTATGATATACTTGCATTTTAGTTTATTTTTTTAAATACAGAGTGTAATTTGTCTCAGGGTGCCTCTTCCAGTGATTTTGAATGTTTACCTTAGCTTCACATTCTGTCTTCAGAAACTGGCTTGATTTTCGTCCTGCTTTCCATGTTTCATGTTGTGTATAAGTACTTTTTATGATGCAGGCCAAGCCCCAGACATGAGTGTCTCTAATGCACAGCAGAAGCTTCCTGCTGCACCCCCAAGTGGGAGGCCTTCTCCTGCCCCCACTGCTGCCCAGCCAGCTGCCGCCATGCCTGGGCCTTCTGTACCACAGCCACCACCTGGACAGCCTTCACCCATTATTCAGCTGCAGCAAAAGCAGAATCGCATCAGTCCTATCCAGAAGCCACAAGGGTTGGATCCTGTTGAAATACTCCAAGAACGTGAATATAGGTAAAAGCAAATAACAAGATTCAAATGCATGTGCATATTGATGATTTTCATTTACTCAACTGAAACTGCTTGCAATTAACTACTGTAGAGAGAATAATATAAACTGAGTTTCCAGAGAGAGACTGTGTCAAAGAGCAGTGTGGAAATATCACACCAAACCATGATTTACTTCTATCTCAAGTTATGAACTATGGAACAGTAGAAGGGGCATGAAGTAGAGCATACTTGCAGTATTACTGCAAAACAGTCTCAAGGACTCTGCTGTCTTAGCATATTATTTGGATGCTCCAGGCATTGAAGATTAGGAAATCAGAGTCCTTGTAGTGAACAGAGAAATTAGTTTAATGCCGAATGTTTTCAGAACAAAAATGAAGTTAGAAGGGAACAGTGGAGATTGAAAGGCTGATGAGTTAGTTGCCACAGGAAAACCAAATTTTATTAGTGATGGTGGGATTGGGTGGACTGCCACAGAGTAGAGAGTATTAAGGAGATCACAGACAATGTTATTAAAAAAAAAAAGTTTGCCGGGAAGCATGACGTTTAAAGGTTGCCTTCTGAGTGCTCTAATTAGGTGGCCAATTGTATTCATTACAAAGGGGAGGATGACATTTCATGTAAATTTAGATTTCTTTGCTCTTCCCATCCACAAGGCTATTAAACAGTTGACCTTAGGAATCTGTTTGGCAGAGGGATCTTGACCTGCATCTGAAATATGCTCCTGATTATTATCAGCTGGGGAAGAAAACTGCACTTGACATATTTGCCTGGCTTGGACTGATGTTGTATCTTCCAGTTACTATAACAGTGAGTTTTGTAGGGCAAGGTAGCCAAAAGGGATGGTGAACTTACTGAAGAATGGTTTAATGACTTTCACTTTCTGGAGATGAAACACCATGAAGTATTGTAGAATGTGGTACCACCTCCAGAATCCAGGCCTTGATCCCAGAAAAGCTCTTATCGTTAAATAGTGCTTAAGTGATTTATTGGCGTGTTGTGGTCATTTTGTCAGTCTTACCCTTTTTGCCTTAGGATTGACTGAATGGCCATAGTTGTTTCAGCATGAGCAGTCACTGTTCCCTGACACCTTTTCCCGAATGCTTGTAGAGCACGCTATTATATGGTTTCACAGTTGCTATGAGTGAAGAATTGTACTGGCATGAACCAAGAGTCACGTGGCCAGTATAATGTAACATTTCTGCATCAGTTAGCCTGAAATTGTTACTCCTTCTGTCTTTCCAGAACTGCTCCATTGCAGTATTTGTGCAAAATTATTACGTCTTAGTATCCATAAATGGAGGAAAGTGAAGGAGTGACAGTAAATAGCAGTGTTGCATTTACTAATACAGAGAACCAGTTGCGTATCTATTAGGTTCTAAATAATCTTCTTGGCAGAGTAAGTGAGGTGGAAGTTTGACAGGGATTCTGCAGCAGAAGGGTTTTATTTTTGATGGTAGTGTATAGGTAGTTCAAGCTTTTCTAATGTTGAACACTGCATACCAGAATGCTTACAACTTCTGGAATACTTCATTATTTAAAACTGTATAAGTAACCTCAGACAAAAGTTTTAAAAAAATCTGTTTAACAGCTTTTGTGCTTCTGACAATACTAGACTTCGCTTTAGTATAGGCAAGTTTAATACAGAACCATGATATATTCATTCTTTCTTCATAAAAAGGGGGTAGAAAAAAAGCCAGCATAAATACTTGTGTCCTAAAACCAGTGAAGCTAGAATAAGCTTCATTAAACATTTATCTCTTGAGATCTCTCAGTAGTTTAACTTTTAATAAAGGGCTGTTATACTTTGAAATACTTAGAAAACTGTTTAAATCTCTCATTTTCATGAAAAGACAGGATTATCACATAGGTATTTTAGGGATTGATACTTCAAACATACAAATAGACCCAAAAGGTAAAATTTCAGTACGCTGCCTTATTGAGGGGAAGTGTGAGCTTTGAATCTCATTAATTTAGGAGTTTTTGAAGATGTCAGATAAGGTTCACTCAGTGATTCCATTGCTTTTGGCTAGATACAATCATAGTAGATTGTATGGGTGATGTTTTGGATTTACTCAGAACAGGGCTGATAATACAGGGATGTTTTCGTTATTAGTGAGCAGTGCTCACATGGAGTCAAGGCCCTTTCTGTTTGTCAGGCACCCAGTGAGTAGGTTAGGGGTGCACAAAAACTGGGAGGGGACTCAGCCAGGACAGCAGACCTCGACTGACCAACGAGATGTTCCAGACCATATGGCATCATCATGCTCAGCAATAAAAGTGGGGGGATATGGGCAGGGGCACCCTTCTTGGGGACTGGCTGAGCATCGTTCAGTTGGTGGTAAGCATTTGTTTTCATTTGCATTACTTATCTTTCTTAGGTTTTATTTTCCTCTCTATTTTTTTCTCTCTTTTCCTCATAGTAATGAAAAAAAAAAAAAATAAACTGTTTTTATCTCGCCCACAAGTTTTTCTCACTTTTACCCTTCTGATTGTTCCCCCATCCCACTGGGCCTGGGGGGAGAGTGAGTGAGCAGCTGAACAGTGTTTAGTTGCTGGCCAGGTTTAAACTATGACAGTGACCTCGAACATGGGTTTCTGGATTAAAGGTGTGAAGTGTGCCGATGGGAAGACAGTAATTTAGTGCTAACTCATGAGCTACAGGATAAAAAGTTAATTGCCAAGCTGTTGGGCCACATCTCTTAAATACACACTTCTCAAGGGCGTGGCAGGCTTTCAGGGGAGAGTGTTACTGCATAGGTATTTCTGTTTCTTAATGGTTCATGTACATGATTTATGTATTAGACCGTGTTTTACACACAGGACAATATTGTAAATGTGAAATACTTTACTTTTGCTGTTACGAAATGACTTTTTTTTCAGTGATAGCAATTCTTTTTTGCTTTCCTGGATACTAGTAAATTACGTAATTTGTTCCAATGCATCAAATAGGCAATTAGAAGTACAGTACAGTGCTCCTATTCATTAACCACATGTTAAATAGACCAATACAGAAGAAGAAGCAGTAATACACCTATTAATATATTGCAGGATATGAAAAACATTTGAGTCTAATGAAACAGTAGCAGCCTGCTTATTCTCACTGAAAAGCCTTAATGTGATTACAAAAAAGGCTCCAGCGTATATTAAAAAAGAGAAAGAAAATGGACAGTTAATGTTGCTGTCAAATTCACATGGTTGTGCCAAGAAACAGTCTGCAGCCTATGTTGATTTAAGATTATATACTAATTGGTGTTAATCTCTGGGTGACTAAAGGTAGATAAAAAGAAACTTAGATATTTAAAATTCTTATCAATATAAGAAGTTTAAATTATTCATATGTGGAGAGCTGTTAAACTTTCTGTGTTCCTTGAAATCTGACCAGAATGAAAAATTCATACTGTGCCTTTGTAAAACTCTCCTTAACACTTTCTTTAAAATAAAGTGTTGCTTTTTAATTTCACTGAATAGATCTCTTAAAACTAATAATGTTTGTAATTTGAAGTTGTTCTATTATGTGTAAGGGCTTTTTCCACCTTTTTGTTGCTAATTAAAGAAAATACACTTGCTGGTGTCCTGTAGTTGTCCGGGGTTTCTTTCTGTTATCTGCAAAGTCTCTTCTTATTTCTCTTCATGGCTTATTGCATGGCATCCATGCCAGACGGGTTTAAATACAAGCATAAACATAGGAGACGTACATCACTTGTTTTGCAAGGAGGTCTCTATGTAGATGCACTAGCCACTTTCTAGATGGAGGAAGATAAATTGCTGAACTGCATAGATTAATTGAATATATCCTCAAAATGATGAGATTATATCCTTCAAGTGCTTGTAAAAAGCATATAGGAGACCTTTTTTCTTTGGATTCTGTTTACCTAATAGCTACTGTTATTTTTCCATGAAGAGAGCAAAAGTCCAACAAACTGCAGGCATTATTACTCTTTAAAGACTAGAAGGTTGCTATGGTGAGAAACACTTCAAGTAGCTGGACCTGGACAAGTACCTGTAGCTTTTAATGGAACTTTCTTATACTGGGAAGTAACCCTTGCTTTACTTTGCAGTCTGTATAAAAACCCAGACCTAATTCTGCTTCGGTTCTTTGCTCTCTGAAGTACAGTAACTTAGTTCTCTGCAGTAATGCAGGAATACCTCCTTGTTCCAGGAACTTCAAAAGTCTTCTGGCAATATATATATTAAAAAAAAACAAACCCACAAAACATACTTGTAGGAAGTTTAGGAGTTTTAGGAAGGAATAACTGTAGAAGTGATTACAGTTGCCTTTAAGATTATATGTAGTCATGATGCATGCAGTGAGATACTAGTACTTTGATTTGTTCTGACTCCGTATATTGGGTGCAGCCATTTTGCCTAATGTGTGATCTACTTTCCAGCTGTGAGGCTGACATGCTGAGTGTATGGGAGTTTATGTCACTGTGCTAATACTTGGAGTGATGGTAGGGGGCAAAAGGGCCAGGGAAGAATGATCCCTGTATGCACAGAAGGTCTTTAAGAAAGTGCTTGCTTTCTTCCAGCATGGCAGTTCCAAAGTCCTCATTGCAGGAAAAAAAACAGTATACACCTTTTCCTGATGTTTTGTGCTTTGTGAAGTAAAGAAAAAATAAAAACTGAAAGTTGTGCAGTGTAGGGAGATAACTTCCTCTTTGTGGGCCTTTAGGTTTTTGATTTTGGGAGAGAGAGGACACTCTGGTTTGGGGGAATGCATGTGTGTTTGGTTTGGTTTTGGTTTGTTTTTTTTTTTTGGGGGGGGGAGGAGTTTGTTTATTTTCTTTGTTTGTTTTCCTAAAGCATTTGAGAGATGGAGGGCATTGGTACACTTGAACTTAGAGGCAGTTTTTGGATGACTTGCAATTTGAGGGTCTGTTATTTTAGGGCCTTGGCAAAATTTGCAGTTCACAGAAGTACTTACTTGTAAATAAACCCACAAAAACTGTTGGGCTTGTCCATTGTTCTCTCTTTCTCTCTTGAATTTGCAAATGAATGCAAAAGGAGCTTGTAAAGGAAGAGTGAAATATAAACAGCTATGTAAGTGTGAATACTTTACTAATAAATCTTTCATTTTTCAATAAAATAAGTAGAATTCCAGATATGAAGGAAAGTTTTGTCTGTGCCATCACTGACTACACTGTGTATAAAACAATACCCATCAAAGAAGCTTGAAAGCAGAATCCTGTATAGAATGAGTAAAATAAAGTTCCCAAGTTTCTTTTCACTCATATGCTTTTAGCTAAAAGAAGGGCTAAGGGGAATTTTCAGTATTTGACAATTTATTTTCGAAATGGAAAAGAATACCTAATGTCATCTCTGGAAAAGCTTGTTAGTTCAGAAACAGTTAGTAAAAGCCACATAAACACCTAAGCTAAATTGTTTATTTTTACTTTATGATTTTGATAACTGCTTACAGATTTCTCCTGATGTCTTAACCCAGTTTTCTGTTTACTTAGGCTTCAGGCTCGAATTGCTCACAGAATCCAGGAACTGGAGAACTTGCCTGGTTCTCTGCCCCCTGATCTGCGAACCAAAGCTACAGTGGAGTTGAAGGCACTTAGGTTACTGAATTTCCAGCGCCAGGTAATACCTTTTGCTTCAGGAAAGTTCTCATAGAAGTCGCATAGTAATGTGTTTGTGTAGTAGAGGGTAAACTGGCAAGAGGCTTTGCAGCAGCACTGAACCTAAGCATGATAGCAAACTTGACCGACAAGCAAGTCACAGAAATATTTAACTTAGATTTTATTCTGTTTTGTTAAAAAAAAAAAGTGTAAGTGTTCTTTTTGCTTCCTGCTTTATCTTCCAGGCTAAAGTGTAACCATAGAACTGTGTCTTTGATAATGGACATGGCATTGATGCAAAGACAAAATGAGAGCTGGACATGCTGCAAGCTGATTTTCAGCACAGATTTCAATAGACACCTCTGTCTGGGCATACTCTGTATTTATCATGGGTCCCTTGTTTTAGGAAGACTTTTATGTTAGTGCTATTGTGGTATTTCTCTGTGGTCTGTTTTCAGGATTTCCACTGTGGCACGCACTTTGAAAATTATGTGTAACAAGATCATAACTAAGATATAAATTGGATCTTGAGTACATGTATCAGCAAATGAATTTCAGAAAAGAACCCACACTGCCAGACTCTTACAGGCCTCTTGCCATTGGTTTTTCCAGCTAGTTTGGAAGAACAAAGAAGTGATTTGGCAGGTCAAGAAAAATACTTCCTGACAGAAGCCTTGGCAGTAGTTGTACGATGGTGTCCAAGTCTTTCCTTCCCTTTACTCTTGGCACACTTTTGTGATAAAGTTTTGTCAGAGATCAGATGAAAAGCAGCAGGCTCTCCCAGCTGTACTGCTGAGACTGTAGAAATACTGTTCCAGTGTTCCCATAACTTCTTCCTGTTTTCTCCTGTGCAGCTGGCACTGAAATGAGTTGTCAGCTGTGTTCAGGTCCAGCTGTAGTAAGCATGTATGTTGTTCATTTGTGTTTTACTTCAATGGTGTAACATTTTGGCAAGCCCCTTTCATTGTAGCAAGATAGTCATTTGCAGCATCTTGTAAACAAGGAAGAAATGATGATTGAGAGTGATTAACAATTTTGGCCATAATGTGGCAACTAAGATTTGTTTAGAGAGGCAGACATAGCTGCTGCAACTGTATAGATGCTAGATCTTTTCAGAACTGCAGTATAAATGGAAGAGGAGGTTGGGACATCTTCTGGACTTTTACTGTTTCATTCTTCCAAACCAGTGTTTAAAGTTGTTCATATATTAAAAATGATCTTTTTATTTAAAAAGTGTTTGTTTTTTCCTACTGGTAGCTAAGACAAGAGGTGGTAGCTTGTATGCGACGTGACACAACACTGGAAACAGCCCTGAATTCCAAAGCTTACAAACGAAGCAAGCGTCAGACTTTGAGGGAGGCCAGGATGACGGAAAAGCTTGAGAAACAGCAGAAGATAGAGCAGGAGAGGAAGCGTAGGCAAAAGCATCAGGTATTTTAACTTACTAGCTGTTTACCCCATGGCGGAAATGCAGCTTACTTTGCTGTGTATGTCTTCTCTATTAAATACTTCGTTTACCTTTGGAGGTTCTAGTATTAAAATCCACCTCCAAATCATGTGGTAAGCAATTGGAAAACAGATTAAAACTTCTGTATTCCCTATTTCAAATCCTGTGCTTTGTCCAAGTGTCTGCACTGACTTGTTTCTCTTTCTAGGAATACCTGAATAGCATATTGCAGCATGCTAAAGATTTTAAAGAGTACCACCGATCAGTTGCTGGGAAAATTCAGAAACTTTCTAAAGCTGTGGCAACTTGGCATGCCAACACTGAGCGTGAGCAGAAGAAAGAAACCGAGAGAATTGAGAAGGAAAGAATGAGGAGACTAATGGTAAGGAGTAGAGAAGGAATATGGTTATTTTAGCTGAAATTATGTATTGTTTCCTTTTAGTATGTTATATACAGTCTTAGTCACACCCATGTATTGCTTTTGCAGAATTAAACATCTGTTGTGCAAAAAAAAGCATAAATCTAAAACTGCTGTAGCTGGATTATGTGTAATTCTGATGATGTTAGTGAATGTCACACTTTTAACCTGTAAGTGAAAGAACTATAAATTCTAGCATAGCCATTTCTGTGTAACATTAGGAAGACGTTCTTCACTATGGGGATGGTGAGGCACTGGCACAGGTTGCCCAGAGAAGTGGTGGATGCCCCATCCCTGGAAATGTTCAAGGCCAGGTTGGACAGGGCTTTGAGCAGCCTGGTCTAGTGGAAGGTATCCCTGGCCATGACAGGGGGTTTGGGACTCAATGATCTTTAAGGTAGCTTCCAACCCAAACCATTCTATGATTCTGTGACCCATTAACACAAATGTATGACCCTCTAGGCTATGCATTGAATGAGTTCTTTACCCGTCTAGTTTTTTCCTTACACAGATCATAGTGACCTAGCTAAAATAACACATGATTACTGCATTAGTTGGTTGGTGTTTCTTTGGAAGCATTTTTGTCATTTTTGATGTCTGTTTTGTATTGCTAGGCTGAAGATGAAGAAGGCTACCGTAAGCTAATTGACCAAAAGAAAGATAGGCGCCTGGCCTACCTATTGCAGCAGACAGATGAGTATGTGGCTAACTTGACTAACCTGGTATGGGAGCATAAACAGGCACAAGCAGCCAAAGAGAAGAAGAAGAGAAGGAGAAGAAAGAAGGCAAGTAGTTACAGCTGGTATTTTTAGGCCATCTCTTTTTCAAATCCAATTTCAGTGTTGATAAATATAGTTATACCTAATTGTCTTACAATCATCTACACTGCATCTACACTGCAAAATCATCTACACTGCCAGATTCTTAACACTGAGGGAACTCTTCCCTCTCCAGTGAAATACATAAGAAATTTGTTCTCATTAAATCTAGAGAAATGTGGGAAGGAGGTAGGATTACAAAATTGGTGCTGTTAACATTGTTTTGATGATAAACTTCCTACAGGCAAAATCGGGCCAGACATGTAAATTAGGAATAAAGTATTTGAAAAGGATCCAATGGATCCGTAATACATTGTATGAAGAAAATAGAAAAAGTCTGGTTATGTAGCTGTTTCACACAGGGTAACTTTTTTAGACCTTCACATTCTGCACTTGGCTGAGTTCCTTTTGTGAATCACTGGAAATAACTGGAGAGAAAGAACTTGGGTAGGAGTATTACAGTAAATGGGGTTTCTGCCAGTAGTATTTTTCATTGTGCATTCCTAACATTTAATTGGCTTTTCAAAGTTCTCCAAATGAGATATTTGACCCTTTGAGAGGGACTTACAAAAACTGAAAACTGCTTTTAAAAAAAAATAAAATTCCATATGTGAAATAATCATGAGTTATGATTTGCCATTTTGGGGACCTCTGAGTACCTTTCATCTCTTACGGAATGGATAAGAGGCTCTTTATAATCCCTTTCCATCCCTGATCTGCTGCTGATTACTGATAAAAATACAAACATTATATTTTACATGGCTTACAAGCAGCACTCTAAATATGCTAATAAATACCAGCATAGAAAAAAATGTGATTCTGAAGATTAATGGTAAAAAAAGTGCTCCATGTTTTCTCCTATTTCTCTCCAAAACATCTGTACTTGCTGAAAGTACGTTCTTAACATCAGAACAGTCCACTGCCAACAAAGTTAAGATGTAACTTAAGCAGGGCTCTTAACGGAATTACCAGTGAAAGCAGATCATATTTAATGTACAGAATTCACAGTAGAGATAATCCTGAATGAGAGTGTGTGGAGTAAATACACTGCTCTGATGAAAAACACTGATTCCTTCAACAGTCTTGTTTCTGTATCAGTTTAGCAGAAGTATATATGAAAGGAGCGTTCATAGGATTTTCTCTTAGAAATGGCAATGAGGAAATAGATGGTGGTGAAAAAGTACTTCTTGTGTTTGCCAGAGCCACATTATGAAATATCCAAGTGAACCCTATATTCTTAAGAGAATAAAGTTTCAGATTGGTCCATCTTTTTTCTCTGGGATACAGATACATATCTGAAGTAGATACTAAGGATCATCTCAGTATAAGGAAGTGCAGCTATTCCTTAAATATACTACAAAAAAAGTCCCAACCAAACAACTGGATTATCAAAATTTATCACACATATTAATGATGCTTGAAGTTGTTTATCTATAAAACACAATTGAAGACATCTGTTCTTGTTAGTCTGATCCATAACCACTGGTAACCAAAACAGAACTGTACTGTACCACTACGAACCCAACACTGTGACAGGAATTGTATTCTGTCCTTTCTGGCTCATTCTCAGCATTGTTTAGGAAAGTTCTGAACCAGAAGCATTCATTTTTTCATATTATCATGACATTTCATTACAGGGTAAATGAGGACAGGCTTTGAGGAAGATACTGGCTTACTAGTTGGGAGTAGTGCTTGGGGAGAAAAATAGTTAGTTTACTCCAGTTAAGAGCTCGAGGGTTCTTTAATATGTTTTTTTTTTTTACACTTTAAGTAGCTGTGACCTAGACTTAATTGAGATACAGTGCAAGGAATTCCCAAAATACCCTTTCTAGTTAGTTGTCAGATTGGAAAACTTGTTTACACACCCAAAATAAAAATGCGTGCATGAGTATGCAATCTGTAATGCTTGGTAACACCTCCGATACCAAATTAAAGATTAAAGCACTTCAGAGGAGATAAATAGTCACATGAAAATTAGTTACTATTTTATTTGTATTATCACGATCTGTAAGCACCTCAAGGTCCAAAATGCTCTCTCTATACTTGTAATCTGACTGTGATATTTTTCACTTCCTCATTTGTTGTAGAAGGCTGAAGAAAATGCAGAGGGAATGGCATCTGGTCTTGGTCCTGATGGAGAGGTATGAATTTTAGAAGGTGGTTTTTGTTATTTTATTTGTTTGTTTGTCTGTTTTGAAACTTTCTAGTGATTCTTCTCTGTGTCATTGCTGTAGCTTAAAAAGAAAACATGACCACAAAGGTTCTAAGAAGAGCCGTTTATAACCAGGAATAAAAATAATCTAGATTAACATTTATACTAGCCTGTTTCTCATCAGAAAGGTGAAGACTAAAAGAAAAATCTGCTGAGTAATGTATCACTGGGTATGCTGAAGAATCCATCTCAGCTTTGTTATAGTCTTAAAAGTAAATTGTTTTCTTGCAGTTCATGTGTAGATACAGTTTATTTTCTAAAATGAGGTAGTAAACACAATATATTCTAGTTTCTCATCTTTAGAAAATACATTGTTGACATTGCATGTAATTAACATGGATAGTCTGACACAGAACAGACTATAGTATTATGATGGCGTAAGACACCTTCAAGTTCTTACTCAGAAGCAAATTTTCTATGTCATTCTTTGAATAAGATTTTTCATTTAGTAGCAGAGCATATGCTGCCTTAGTAAGAGCTGTTCTGTTAATGCTATATTTGTGATCATTTTGGTTTTAAATGAGGACTTTAGAGTTGTATATACTGTATATATTGTCCTACTTTTGGTCTTTTTATACTTGCAAGGGATATTTTTGCTGATGTAGTTTAGGAGTTACAGCAAAATCCTTACACGAGGAAAATGCACATAATATTGCTGTAGCTTTAGTATTTATGGAAATGGGGTAAGTTTTATACACTGGCAGTCACTGTATTCATAGCTGTTTAGAATTACTCTTTCTTGTCATATATATATATGTATGTACGTATATATATTAGGACAAGATTCTTCAGCAGAAGCAGTAGTAGAGGGCAAGAAGCTTTTAGAGTAGAAAATCTGTGATTAAACAGGGCAAAGAAATAACAGAAAGAGTAATTATGCTGTTCTGGTTTTGTTAGAGCACCAGAATAAATAAAAGATTTTGTTTTTGCAGGTGCTTTATCAGCTTAGTTGAAGAAGTCAGGACAATAAATCTGTGAATAAGTCTTCTGTACTTAAAAAGTTAGCTAAATCGTTAGGTCCTTATTTTTCCATGTAAGAGAAAAAGCCGTAAGGTCAATATATGGGTTTTTGTTACAGATCTCCATTGGTGTGAGTAACAGGATTAAATTCCTATAAGCATACATAGCTTGTGTCTTGTTTCATAGAAAGCAGTAGTGTAATCTTTTCCATGCTGCTGTCTTTGGTTTACTTGGAATACTGTGGTGTATTTGTGGATGTCATGTAAAATGCGTTACACACAGAAAAGTGTGACTCAAGTGTTTGCTTGATAGTTGCATGGGAAGGTGTGGCTTCTAATAATGAAACTTCACTGCTTGTTCAGATCTGGCATTTTGAAGGTGCTGTTAGTTCTTTTAATTATGTATTACAAGCATAAAATTCAGTTGCTGTATGGAATAAAATTACATTTGAAATTTTAGCCCATAGATGAGAGCAGTCAGATGAGTGACCTTCCAGTCAAAGTGACTCATACTGAAACAGGCAAAGTTCTTCTTGGCCCAGAAGCACCAAAAGCAAGTCAGCTGGATGCTTGGCTGGAAATGAACCCTGGGTAAGTAGCTAGCATACAAGTAGGCTGGTTTTTCTACTTAAATTGATATTTTTAATGGGCTTCTCTTAGTTCCTCCCTTTTCTTTCTTTTAATTTTACTGTGTGTAAGCTGAGTCGATCTGTTGAATCTAACCCCTCCTCTTGTTATCTGTAATTCGTGATCCTTATGTTGTCTTTGTACAGCTACGAAGTTGCTCCCAGGTCAGACAGTGAAGATGAAAGTGGATCTGAATATGAGGAGGAGGTATGTGTCTAAAAAAAAAATAGTGTGACAAGTAATGCAGTAAAACCCAAGTACTTCATGTGGTTATTTTTTTAAGAATAATACAATCAGGAAAAATAAGTGTATTGTTAATTCTTTTCAGTTCATAGCAGTTGTCCTTTCTATATGCTGTATGCCTAATTGGTAACTGGGTTTAGGAAAAGTAAGTATTTTTCTCTGACTTAGTAGTCAGAGTATAAGCAGGTTCCTATTTAAAATTATGTGCCAGACTAAGAGTGTATTGTGGCTTTGTGCTGAATGAAGTTAATGTATTTAGGGTCATTATTAGGACTGCTGCTGTTCAACATCTTTATCAGTCCAAGACTTAGACAGACATGGACAGTGGGAGTGATGCACCCTCAGCAAGCTTGCCAGTGACACCAAGCTCTGTGATGTGGTCAACACACTGAAGGGAAGGGATTCATCCAGAGAGACCTTGACAGGCTGGAGAGGTGACCAATGTGAACCTCATGAAATTCAGCAAAGCCAAGTGCAAGGTTATGCACATGGGTTGGGGCAGTACCAGGAGCAGCTACAGGTTGGGTGGAGACTGGATTGAGAGCAGCCCTGAGGAGGACTGTTGGGGGTGTTGGTTGATAAGAAGCTCAACATGACCCAGCAGTGTGTGCTTACAGTCCAGAAACCAGCCATATCCTGGGCTGCAGCAAAAGGAGCGTGACCAGCAGGTCAAGGGAGGCGATTTCTCTCCCTCTACTCTGGTAAGACCCCACCTGCAGTGCTGCATCCAGCTCGGGGGGCCTCATCTCAAGAGGCTTGGACTTGTTCGAGTGAGTCCAGAGGAGGCCGTGAAGATGATCAGAGGGCTGGAGCACCTCTTCTATGAAGACAGGCTGAGAGAGTTGGGCTTGTTCAGCCTGGAGAGAAGGCTCTGGGAAGACCTGAGAGCAGCCTTCCAGTGCCTAAAGGGGGCCTAGAAGAAATCTGGAGAGGGACTTCTTAGAAGCGCATGTATTGTTAAGACAAGGGGGAATGACTTTAAACTGAAAGAGGGGAGATTTAGGTTAGAGGTACTATGAAGAAGTTCTTAACTTGGCAGTGGTGAGGCACTGGCACAGGTTGCCCAGAGAAGCTGTGGCTGCCCCATCCCTGGCAGTGTTCAAGGCTGGATTGGATGGGGCTTTGAGCAGCCTGGTCTAGTGGCAAATGTCCCTGCCCATAGCAGGGGGCTTGGAACTAGATGATCTTCAAGGTCCTTTCCAACTCAAACAAATCTAGCATTCTATGATCTTGTGATCTTTTAATGTTTATACACTGGAGGTTTTATTGGCAATTCTGAATTACACAGTTATTCATTTACATGTTCTATTTATTTAAAATTTGGAATTACATCAGGAATTTTAAGTTCTGACTGTTCAGGGTAGGCTTGTTTGAGTCAGCATTTTAAATATTATTACTACAAAAATTCTAAAAAGACTCTTAAATTTACACACAAAGATCACAAACCTGTAAGGCCATAATATTAGATACTGTGAATAATCAGTATTGATACTTACATAGTATTTTTCAGACAAGTACTTTCTAAGGGAGAGGGAAGAGTAGAGAGAACCATGTTCTGTCAGTAGCAGAACTAGGTATAGAATTCATATCTCCTAAGTTTAGCAGTCTTTACTGAACCAAATGACCACTGAAACTGATGGGACTGTGTGATGTTAAGGTAGTAGACCTTTGTAGGACTAGTTATTTCTAATGTAGTTCTTTAAGACTTTCACTGTTGATGAAAGGATGGGTGGGCCTGATACATGTTAATTTCTAGAAGGAAGGTTAAAAGAGATGTGCCCGCATTTTTAGCACAGTCTCTTTAGCTGCAGCATTGTTTAGAGCTGGGGAAATTGTTCTTAGGAGAATACACTTGCAGAAGTCAGAGTAGCCTTCTGTTCAGCTTCACAAGTGAGATTTTAAGTTTCTTGGTTATCCATTACAACTGTAGGCAGAAGACTAATTGTTATTTTTAGAAGAGTAAAAATGTGGTCTGTTTTGAAAAAGTTAAGAAACTAGAAGTCTTAAACAGCTGTATTTGACAGGTTTTTAAGCTTTAGTAAATTATTACACATCTGCAATGTGATATACGTGGTATTGAAATACTTTCCATGAACACAGTAGATAGAGTAACACTTTTTAAAGTAAGATCATTAAAGGAGAAAATGCTTATTTTGAAGTATCAAGACTTCCTTTTGGTAAATATGTGTCAAAAATTATCTTTCCATTACGCTGCAGTGCAGTTCTCTTGTAGAGTAGGTGTAAATCCAACTTTTTGATTCGAGTTTCTGTCATGAAGTGTTCACCAATGAAAGCTACCAATATGTGAATACCAATTGAACGTATGATGTAGGAAGCTGTTGCACTTCCCAGCATCCCTGTTCTTTTTCTGTATTCTGTAGGATGATGAAGAAGAATCAAGCAGATTAGAAGCAGATGAGAAGATACTCCTGGATCCTAACAGCGAGGAAGTTTCTGAGAAAGATGCAAAGCAAATCATTGAGTGAGTGTTCTTTAGGTGCTGGTTTTTGTTAGGAATTGTGATTTCTTACAGTGGCATTTCCCAACATTAGCTTGCTCTAGTTTACAGTGAGTTGTGGTAGCTTCTCTGTCATTAACGTCTGCAGGAAGAGGAACATGATCATTTGGTATTAACTGTGTGCTATTTATAAAGTAGCTTGTACCTTCTGATGTACTTGGCACAGTTGGGGATTTACACTGTTTCTTTAGAAATACATACATGAGCTGTGGTCAAAAAAACTGTTTGTTTGTGGGAATTCACTCTAGTTCTTTTCCTGCTTTCCAGGACAGCCAAACAAGATGTGGATGATGAATATAGCATGCAGTATAGTGCTAGAGGGTCTCAGTCCTATTACACTGTTGCTCATGCGATCACAGAGAGAGTGGAAAAGCAGTCTTCTCTACTTATTAATGGCACTCTAAAACATTACCAGGTGAGAAATCATCTCATATGCTCAGCATTTCAATGTGCTATTTCAAGTGGCAAACTGAAAATTTGTTAAGAAATACAAGATCTCTAGTAGGTTAGAATTTGGGATTATATGGGCAAAGCAGTGACAGTTGACTATCATAGATAATGTTTCATGCAACTGCTTGAATAATAATATCACCTTTTGCCTGTACCATAACTTTTTTTTTCTTTTTCATTACAGGCTAGTAATATGTTGGTTTTGCTGTCCTTCTTATTGATGCAGAATTTCAGTTTTGCTTATAGTTTTCATGTGTGTTGGATTAACAATATTTCTCCTCTTCCAATATTTAAAAGTTTAGGATTTTATTTTGTAATTGAGATCCTAGTATTTCAGTGCAGTGAGAGGCAAAATTTGGAAACAAGAACTATAGAGGTTGATGTATCATTCTTTACAGACATTCAGTGGATTTAGTAGGCAGGAACTTCTGTATTCTGATACAGGCTAGACGTAAGCATGTATGATTGAAAATGCCCTTGGTACATATTTTCAACGCTTCTGCTATTATGCAGCTTTCTAGGAAACTCCAAGAATATGCGTCTTTTCTGCAGGCAGAACATTTATTTCTACATCCACATAAAATAAAGACTAATAATCACCAAGTTGTCATAAAGATGTATATCCATTTCTGTGTGCAGAGAACTGGAGGAAGACTGTTTCCTAAATGCAGCGCATTATGATTACAGCCACTGCTTCCTATGCTCCTCAGCACTGCTATTATAGTAGCTTGTTTAAATAATTTAAAATTCAAGAGTTAAGATGGTTTCTCTTTTAAAACCATTTTAGTATTTTTATATTGGGCTTTTCACTGTGGGACATGGTGAGAAAGCAAAAGACTATAAACAAAAGATGAAACAAGTGAATTCAGACTGGGTGTGCAGAAGAGGCACAGTGCCACTGTGGAGCAGGGGTTCAGAGGGGTTTTGCCCATGCAGTTTTTGATTGCTAACCATATAAAGTCATGAGCAACCTGGCTCCAAGGATGAACCTGCTTTGGGCAGGGGATTGGCCTAGGGACTGCTTGAGGTCTGTTCCAGACTGAATAATCCCTTGATTCTACTCATGGTAAAACAGAATTTGAATTCTGTTACGAATCCTTGGCACTTCCAGGTGTTTCACTGTGAGCCCTCAGCAAAAAAAAAAAAAAAATAAAAGAGGAAAATATGATATTCAGGGATCTATTTTGAACATGAGAGGTTAAATAACTTGCTGTCATTGATAATGCAGTGACTAAAACAAGATAGAATCGGACCATATAGAGAAATACACCACTTCCTCAGCTACGTCACCCTCTTTATTTTTGCTGCCTCATTGTCAGTGTGTTGTACCCAGTGAAACGTGGAGTCAACAGATGTAGTCAGCAGACTTCTTCACTGCATAATCCTGATTCATTGTCTGGGAAGATTTCCTTGTTACAGTAAATGCATAGTGTATAACAGTGCTAATTTGCCGTATTGGCTTAAAGTGCTTATGGATGGGAAATGAAGATTGTGATAATTCCTTTACTTTCTGAATTGTAATTACTCATGGAACATAGAGATATTCTTAAATTATGCAGATCTGTGGTTTGCTATGCAAATAATTCAGTCTGTGGAGTTACAGATACTCACAGGGATTGCCAGTTAGAGCAGGTCCTTTAACCTGCTCAGTGTGATATCTTAACAATTGATTGCATAGATTTGTTTTTTACTGTGTCTGCTCTGTATTGTTATTGTACCAAGAGGTAAAAGGCACACTTGTCTAAGGGGCTCTGTGTCAGGAGCATTGAGGTTTGGCTTTGGCTGTGTCAGTAGGAAAAGTTCAGTGATGTAGAAAAGACAGTTTTCCTGTTAGCAGTTCTGAAGCTGCTTTGTCGATGGGACATAGGTTTGCAGAACAAATTCTGGTTAGCTCTTGGCCTGAGTATTTAATACCTAAATATAAATTAGCCAGCATGCGCCTAAAGCCAGTAAATTGGAAACAGTGGTTTGAATATCCTCTCACAGGGACAACAGAAGGTTTCTTCAAGTACGTACTGTTTTCTCTCTGAACTTCATCAGGGCTTTTCATTTACTTCTCTCTCCATGCATGAGACACACTAAAAGATTGGATCTTAGAAGCTTGCCTGAGTAATGTAATACACACACATGTGGAAGTCTGTGTGACAAGGGAATAACCTGAGTCAGTTGCTTTTAGCAACTCTGTTATGTAGACATTTCTTAGCTACAGTAATCTAGCTTCCTTCCAGCTCTAGGAGTTTATGTACCAGGTATAACTTGACAAAGGGGCCTAATCTGACATGTGAAGGTATGGATAGCGACGCTATATGGATGTGGGCTGAAAGACCTTTAACATACTAGTGTTGCAGTTGGCAAGTGTGAGGTGTACATGGTTTGCAGACTTGGTGGGTTTGGTGACACAGGCAAATGGCATGAAATTTACACAGAAAGTTTAATGTTTGACAGTGTTGAAATAGAAGAACAAAATCCTGCAATGTTAAGTATTTATCCACCTTAAGTGGGAGTGACTGTGTTGCTTTGTATGCAGTGCAAAAAAAACTCTATGCATGAGATTTGATCTCTTATTATGGGCTCTGCGAAACAGATTTCTGTGTAGCATACATTACCAGAAATTTACCCTGTTTTGTTGTTTGTTGTTTTTTTGGTGGTTTGTTTTTTTTTTTTTGTGGGGAGAAGGTGCTAAGATGAGCAGGGGTTCCTGTGCATATAGTATTAATACAGGAAATCCAGCATCTAAATAGACAGGGACTTCAGAATCTTGGTTATTGTTGTGGTTAATATATTCTGAAGTCTTTGTCTGTTGTTAAATATTTGTGTGGGCTTTAAATAACTGAAACTATTGTTCTTGATTTCAGCTCCAGGGACTGGAATGGATGGTTTCACTCTATAATAACAATCTGAATGGAATTTTAGCTGATGAAATGGGACTAGGAAAAACAATACAGACTATTGCACTCATCACTTACCTGATGGAGCACAAAAGACTCAACGGCCCATATCTCATCATTGTTCCCCTTTCGTAAGTAAAGGGTCTCTTTCTAAGAGACTGTTCTAAGCATTGTGTGCTGGTTTATTTGGAAGACACACTTGTTTTTCATGTAATGACAATATGAGGAGCACGGTGGGATTACACATAGCATGTATTCAGTGTTTTCTTGATCATTTCTTCCCAGTTAATTGCCTGACATTAAAAAAGGTGACCAGAAAGGTGGTAAAGCACCTTTTTTTTGCCATTAGTTTCACTCTCGACTCTTCTGGCAAACGTAGTGAATTTACTGTAATTCACTCTGAGGCCACAAGAGGGAGCCAGTGTTTCTTTAATATTACATGCATGTAGTTGTCCTTTCGCCCTTTGTGCTGCTAAAAATTTGTCGCTTAATTCTTTCAACAAATGGTGCCCATCTGATATAAAGTAATCATGCTTTAATGACACTGGAGTATCTTTTATGTATAACTAGCTCTGGATGTAGCCTTGAGGAGTGGTACTCTCACACTTCAGTCAGATGTCCAGGTTAGAGTTGTTTACTGTGCTGCCCGCTTTCGCTTTTACTTAGCTTTCCAAGATGATGCTTGTTTTATACATCTCCTCTAATGCATTTTTCTTCCTGCAAAGCTGAGGTATGGGTTTTAGTGATTTGGAGAGCTGTGGTTTGCATAAAAACTGTCAGGCATTGTAAAACTGATGTAAGATATTAAAGAATTGTTTGCTTATTTTTCTGTGTGATTTGAATGAGGGGCTTTCATTATATAATTTGTCCCCCATATTTCCTAAACATGCAAATATGTTAGGATTGAGTTAAGTTTCATTCGTGGCCATCTCTTTTGATTTCTTTTGAGGTATCCTCTGTTTTGGCTGTGCTGCAGTAATAACTAACTGACTAACATAAATACCACAGCTGTGCCTAATTGTATGAAACTAAATGATGAGTTCTAGTATGAAAAAAAAAAGGCTGCGAGAAGAGCTATAAAATAAAACACAGTTAAAAATAAAGGGAAAGTGTCATTAATGACAGATTTTGTATGGGCACAGTAAAATCAGATTTAAGTACTCTGTAATGATTTTTTTTTTTATGTTTCTAAAAGAAAGGAGCTGAAATTTCATTCTCCTGTACATTTTAATTCCCTGCCTTTTCTTAATACCTAGTAATGCTGCCATCACAGGTCCAGTAAGGAAGAAAATAAGCAAGCAACCAACACACCTCAAGGGTTTTTTTTTTTTTGCTGCTATATCATGATAGCACCTAGCTTAGCCATAAAATCATAATTGTTGTGATCAAACAGCAGAAAGGGAGTGCAAAAAGAGACCTGCATAGTAGCACTAGGTGGCGCTATAAGTAGTTCTGTTCAGATAGAAGACTGATGAACGCTTGTTACTAACTTCAGACTATTTGAAAAGTTGTAATGTCAGTTGCTGGATGATAAGCAGTATAAAATAACTTACAAATCTATTTTTTTGCTCAGGGTTATCTTTCTTACCCTTAATAGGCTCCAATATACAAAGATACATATAAAATATTACTCTGAATTGTTTTCAAAGAGGTTCCTAAAGACGAGCTGAAAGAGGGTTTCACACTTTTTTTTTTGTTTATTCCCTTCTCAGAGATACTTTCATTTTATTACAGTATATAAAGTGATTTTTTTTTTTAATATACTGTTAATTATGGGGGTTGACTATGTGAAATATGTTGAAAAGTTGGCAGTCACTTAGAAACATTTATAAAGTTTGACTTGCAAATGATTAAATATATTACTTTTTCTCTATAATGTCTATAATAGGACTTTATCAAATTGGACATACGAATTTGACAAATGGGCTCCGTCTGTGGTGAAGATATCTTACAAGGTTTGATTTGCTTTTCATATGATTATATTGTTGAAGGAATGGGAATAGAGCCATAGTTTCCTCTGTCTCTGCATGCATTTCTAAACTGCTTATGAAATTTTGTCATGTGTATCAGTTAATAAGTAGTGAGTTAATCATACTAAGAATAATGAACGGTAATTACTTTCATATAGTGAAGTGCAGAATAAAATTGTAATTATCACATTGCAAGACTTCTGGTGGGGGTAATAAAAATGAAAGCTACTTCACCTTTTATACATCACTGAATACTTTGCTGTTTAGCTACTGTAGTAGTGGTATGGTCAAACAGTTTGTAAGGAGACTAGATTGCTAGCTACATGTCTCTAGTGCCCCATGAACAGAGCTTTACAGTCTAGCAAACATTTAGGGAAGGCACCCTGAAAAAGCCCAGAATGAATTGATATACTGGTTTTAGTACTGTAGGATTACAGGTTCATGTGATTGTTCTATGTCTGCTAATTCATAAAAACCTACTTTCTTCATTAAAAGAGTAACTACTCGCTTCTCTTTCTTTTAGGGCACACCTGCAATGCGCCGTTCACTTGTTCCTCAGCTTCGAAGTGGAAAATTTAATGTTCTCTTAACCACTTATGAGTACATAATAAAGGACAAACATATCCTTGCTAAGGTAATGATTGTCATCTCTTAACAGCAAGACCTTCAAGACACCGTTAGATGGTACATAATACAAAACACATTTTTGTTTTCCAGGGAAATCTTGAGTTGTTGTTCTGCCTTTCAGTGGAAGTTAAATCTTTCATTTACTTTTCCATTTCTCTGTTTATTAATTGACTTCTCAGTCACAGCTTTTCTCCTTATAAACACCAGGATTTTCCTCAATGTGGCTGGGAGACAAATTCCATTGTGCAGGTCTGTCAGTGCTGTATACCTGTGTGTCTGTAGAAAAACATTACTTTTCTCCCTTCTGTTTAATGACATTTAACCTAATCTGCAGTCCTGACTAATATTTTTCCAGTGATTCCAACCTGAAACTCAATCTTATTAGAGCCTTTCCAGCTATGTGGTCACTTTACCCAAACAATTAAATAGTTACTTGTATCATGAATTCAGTATCCAGACTCTTTACTGGCCCAGTTCTTAAAGGCTCACTAAACATCAACAGGTGTGCCTCAAATGTAATGAATTCATTAGAAAATTACTTTAAGCCTATTTCATGTACTACACAAAAGTATTTTGCTGTATGGAGAAACCACATCGACCTACTGTCCCTTTGTTTTTAATTTTCACTTTATTTCATTCTATTACATACTGCTTGTTTAGATCACTTTTTTTTTCTGATACAAAGGCAGTGTATTTTCTTAGCATAATTCTGAACACTTGAGAACAGTTTGAGACTGTAGAGTTTGTCTTCCCGTCTAATTTTTGCCTTGGTAACAGATAGCAAGGACAAGCACTATGCTGTTCAGCCTGTCCTGAGAAATGCAGTTATTTCACACCTATGAAAGTACAAACTGAGACCTTCCTAGTCATATGGTCAGTGTGGCAGGTTGACTGCCCATGTTGTAGTACCAGCGGAGAGCTTGAAACAACTCTCAACATCTGCTGTGATTGCATTTAAGTTTTTGCATTAAGAAGCAGAAACATTATTTGAAGATCCAGTAACTGAGATGGGAGAATTGTAATTATGGTTCTTTGTCCTTGAGTAAGAACAAAATACTTAGCTGAATGCAAAACAAAGTTCAGGGTTGTTTTGTAAGGAGTTACTTTGAAATGCTTTTTTATCCTGTGAGGTTCTTGTTACAGGCAAGTTTATTTGGAGTTCATGTGATTGCTTTCTTCCTCTGTAAAACATATTCTGGCCTTGAAGAGACAGTCACTCTAATCTCTTTCCCAGAAGCAGGAGGAATCTGCTGTTTGCTGTTGCAATTCAAGTTGGAATTCAGCATCAGATTCAATATGTCTAGTGTTTGTTTCTGTTTTTGCAGCTTGCAAGGCCACTGGTACTTGGCTAATGCTTGATTTGGCTTTTCTCAGAAATGAGAATGACTAATGTCTCAGACTTGAAATATTTCTGTTCTGTACGTGGTGAGAGGAATTTGATGAAGACTGACCTGCTCTGACTTTGCCAAATTTTCTTCTTTTTCTTGCAGATTCGATGGAAATACATGATAGTAGATGAAGGCCATCGAATGAAGAACCATCACTGCAAACTGACTCAGGTCTTGAATACTCACTATGTGGCCCCTAGGAGAATACTGCTGACTGGGACTCCATTGCAGAACAAATTGCCTGAACTTTGGGCCCTTCTCAATTTCCTCCTTCCAACCATTTTCAAGAGCTGCAGCACCTTTGAACAGTGGTTCAACGCTCCATTTGCTATGACTGGAGAAAGGGTACTGTGGCAGTTTGTTGTTTTTTTTTCTTCAACATCAGAAACAGAACACTTTGATGAAAACAGAAAGGAGCTTATACAGAAGGATTAGTGTTTGAACTCTCCCTGGTACTTAGGGAATTAACATAACCAAAAGCTACCTTTATTATAACGCCAGAAAATTTTAATGTCACTGTCCTTTTTGACTCAGAATCTGTTTGTAACATGCAAGTAACTATGGCCCATATTTAACCTTTCATGTGAGAGAAGACATTTTCTGATACACTGAGTTGCCTTGTAGTGACTTTTATAAACTTCTATAGGTGGACTTAAATGAGGAAGAGACTATTCTGATCATCCGTCGTCTCCACAAAGTGCTCCGACCCTTCTTGCTGAGAAGGTTGAAGAAAGAAGTTGAATCTCAACTGCCAGAAAAGGTTTGCAATGAGAGTTGTGGAAGGGATTTAGTATTTTTTTAAGCATTATTTAATGTTTGTTTTTCAGATTTATTTTACAGATGACAATTTCTTTAGCATCTGTTACTGCCATGGTTTCTTTGTTGAAAAGTTGACCGCTGGGGAGGCCTGAACACCTGAAATTTTAACGTTCTCAGGATTCCTCACCAGTCTTGCCAACTGTAATTCTGTTCGTAGTCATCCGTATGACACATATGACTTATTTCCATAATATGTATTTGCACGTTGTGAGTCAGTCAGCCATACACAGAGGATTAGATTCTGTCCTGTCCCATCCTCCCTACACCAGGTGGAACCTTTGCTACCTTAGCCAGTTCACTGAAGTTCATAAAGGACTCCTGTGTTTTATAAAGCATGCAGAATTTGGTCCTACATTAATTGAAGTTGCACAATTATTTTTTTAACCAATGGCTTTTTAATTCAGAACATTCTTCTGATTTGAAAGGTCATTGTTTTTGTCTCTGGGCAACTGATTTTGTCTCACCCTGTCCTTCTTTGCTATCCTGCATTGCTTTTCCCATTTGCCTTTACCAGAGTAATAATAACAACTAAATAAAAAAGCAAATGTGAGGATGTGCTGGGGAAAATTTGCTGCTTAGGTCAACTGGGCTAAAACCCAGTTTAAATTCCACCTAAGTAAAATTTTTTTGAATTGTACTGTGAACTGACTCACATAGGCTGAATGAATGAAGAGCTCTGTGTAGATGCTTAGTGACAGTACTCAAAGGAAAGGCCCTTTTAAAATTTCTTTCTCATCTTTATAATGTTGTGAACACTGTTACTGTTGTGACTCTGTTCCTTCAAATGTCAGATTTTCAGTATCCTTAGAAGTATTTGTTTGAGAATGAAACGTATTTAAATTTAAAAATATTACTGAAATACTTATTTCTATTTAAATTTCTGCCAGTTAGAGCCACTGTATTTCATAAATCCATTAGTAGATGTTGGAGGAGGGAGATGTAGAAGTTTCATCCACACTGGTACTCAGAGGACCGTGTTTGGTTTTGTTTTCACCATCTTCTTTACGAAAAAAAGGAATTAGTTCAACCGTGAGGACTGAACTTCTTGACCGGAGCCTGCTAATAAGTTTCATGGGATCTTACAAATCTTGGTAAAGAAGCCATTGAAGAAATACTCATTTTTCTTTGAGGAGTTCCTCCTCCTGTCTTTCTGAGAATAAAAAAAAAAAAAAAAGATAATTTTTATTCCATTTATTTATTAAACATTAGGAAGCTTACATTTTTTTCTTTTAGTCACTACTAGAAAGACTTCTAGCCATTACTTCGGCTTTATTATGTGACTCGCTTTATTTTACATAACTTATTAAAAACATAGTGACTTTAATCTGGAAATGGAGTAATAAAAAATGGATTAAACTGGGGTATGAAGTCTTTGTATTGCTGGATTTAAAGATAGTGCACAGTCAAAAAATGTTTTACTAAATAAAAGTTTTACAAAGCTCAATAAGAAGTCCAGCTGAATGTGGGCATCATATAGTACTTGATTAATTCAGTGTATTTTTAGTTGATGTTGAGAAAATGGTGTATTTCTAATGCAATCTATGTAAGCGTAATGCTAAGTAGGCACTACGAAGGATGCTTATTTGCTAGGTATACAATGATGATACTTTTATAATGCTTTACAGATATAATAAAGTCCACAGGGTATTAAACACAAATATTTTCATTGCGTGTTATATATAAAACTATTTTTTTATTATGGGTTTAAATTGTAAAAATTACAAAATGAGGAAAAAAAGTAGTGATTCTGCACTTACATTCTTAGGATCCAGCTGTCTCATAGTAGTTGTGACTCTCACAGGTAATCTTTTGAGATATTCGTTGCTGTGCTTGTAGTTGGATCGTTGCTCAGTGAAACCATATAGTGGTAGGGTACAGATAAAAACTAGCAGGTTTTTGTTTTGTGTTTTAGGATAACAAGAACTTGTAGTTAGATCCTACTGACATTATTATGTCAGTGTGTTTATGGTTGTTTTCTTGGAATTTTTTATACTAGGTGGAATATGTGATCAAATGTGATATGTCAGCGCTTCAGAAGATCCTGTACCGCCACATGCAAGCCAAGGGAATCCTTCTCACAGATGGTTCTGAAAAAGACAAGAAGGTATGAAAGAAAGACTAAACACTTGGGAAACAATGTATTATTAAATATGCTAGCAGTATGATTTCTGTTTTATGAAACTCTAGGCTGTTTCTGCAGATATCTGTCATGGATAAAATGATATCTATCAGACATCATTAGACATCTGTCAGGCTTTTTGTTTTAAAAGACTACAGCTCATGCTCTCTATTCACAAGGAAAAGATCCTACTTGTATTCACTATAATTACTGTCCCTTTCTACAAACAGGCAGTGTTTGAAAATAACCAGCATTTCCCTTGGCTGAGTTTAATCCAGTGTGGTACTTGATAATTATGATTGTGGTTGTGCTGGCTACAGAAAGTCATAAATCTTGTCTTTCAGAGCAATTAGATAAGTATAAGCTTTGTTTTAACCAGCTTCTATTCATACTTGCAAGATCTGTTAGTGACATAATTCTTTTAAGAGAACAGTAAGATTCAAAGTTGTATAGTCAGATTTAGAGTATGAATTAGTAAATACTGATTATGTAATCATGGGACTTGATCCAGTTAGTACAGAGTAAAAAGTTGCCATTCATCACCTACTTGTGTATATGCTTTTCACATTATAATAAATGTGAAATACCTTTAATAAGTACTGCAGAACAGCTGGTGTTTAATAGTGTGTTTGCACTGTGTTATATGTATATTACTGATGCAGTGCAATCGCATCCTGTCTTTCTACCATCCTTTGGCAGGTTTTATTGGTACAATGGGTGATATTTTTGCTCAGTATCTTATCTTACCCTCGTTTTGTGCGGTGAGATTGTTTTCCTTGCTGGTGCTTATTCAAACTCTAAACAAAGCTCGTTCTTATCACTGGATGTTGATACTCATCTTAATAGTTTGAATACTCTGTAAACATTAATTTACATTCTTTTATTTTAATATCACTTTGTGGGTTGATGTCTTTAGTCCTACAAATTTAATTTTGTATCGCAGGCAGACTTCCTTTTCTTCCAGATCCTTTTCTTCTCTTTCACCAGATCAGAACCTTTGAACTGGTCAAAGATCATAAGCTGTTTTATTGTTTTATAAACAGCATACATTTGTTTGCTGTCTTCTGAACACCTCCCTGGCCTTCCCTTCTTGCCAAGAGTCTTAAAATTTTTTACTTTCTTGCTGCCCTCTCTTGATTATTTTTTTTTCTTTAACTGGTTCATCAGCTTTTTTTATCCATGATACCTGTTGTCAGCAGAGGGAGGTGGCTTGTTGGGAATGCTTGGCTTCAGTGATCAAAGAACTGTGTTAGGAAAAAATCCTGTCTTTCTGCAGCTCTTGCCTGGAACCAGATAAGACTACAGAGAGTTTATCAAGCTGGAAATTTCTAGGAAATTACTCTTAGAACAAATATGAACTGCATTTAGGAGCAAATTAGAGAGGATTTTGGAAGGAACAAAACCAAATTTTAGATTTGTGGAGCACCCCCTTCAAGCATAAAATCTCTGCTCTAGATGGAATTTATTTCACTGGTCTTTCTAGGAAAGAGTAGAGTATTACTAGTACATGATATGATCAAATAGTGTACTTTTCCCTAGTTTTATTGTTGGAAATGGCTAAATTCCTTTTGCTGACGTTTTTAAAATACATCTGAATTAGTCTTACAGTAAGCTTGGAATATTGCAGCCACTCTGATTACATTTTCATAAAATTACAACAAAGCAAAGTGGTATCTGACAGCAACAACTGCTTGGCAATGTTAATACACTGGGATGTTCTCAAACTTGTATCCACCTTTTGCAATTAGATTTTAAACATAGAGTTTAGGCTAGGACCATTGACTATTGCCTGAAGTTTGTCCTGGTTCTGAAAAAGATTATCTGCAGAGTAGATTTTGAGAATATATTTTGTTAAACATTAATATGACTCAAGATTCGGTTATCTCTACCTTTTTAGCTGCCTGTGGCCCTGTGTTTTACTTGGCCTAGAAAGAGAAACCCAGTTAACAGACGGAAGGAAATGCTGTAGATTGAAAATCATCTGGCTAGAGCAGATTTCTGTTAGAGAGTTCAGACCTTACAGAATTTGTAAGATTTCGTAATGAACAGTATCAATACGGCAATATGCGGGACAGCAGATGCTCTGCTTCCAATTGTGAAAATTGTAGGTAGATACATAATGCAGTTCACGGATTAGTTCCAGGTCTTTCTTTTTTCTTACAGGGCATACTTATGATAGATAATTTATACAGCAAGGCAACTGAATAGTAGCTTCTGTTTTTTCTGTTGTTGGGGGTTTTTTTTTGTGTTTTGGTTTTGGTTTTTTTCATTGGTGATGTGGTGGTCAGGTTTGGGGTGAAAGTATTTTTATGCCTGCATTTAACAATATCTTTCAAAAGCTTCATTAATAAGCTAAGAAATTAGATGCCTCATTTAATTTGCATTGTTTGTACCCATAGGGGAAAGGTGGGGCAAAAACTCTTATGAACACTATCATGCAACTGAGAAAGATATGCAATCACCCATACATGTTTCAACATATTGAGGTAAGACTGACAGGTTTGATTTTGAGACTTGTTTTTATTCAGATGGCTAACATAATAGCAAACTGCTGTTGAAGCTTATGTGTATGGGAAAAGACATCTCTGTCCACCTTATTTCTGCTGAAAAGAAAGCATTTGAAAACCACGATCAGTATGGTCCATTTTCAGAAATAAATGGACCGACCACCAGGTTTTTATTGATGACCTGAAGTCTAGCTTTAAAGCATTTAATGTTGTGGAGGCAGTGTCTTAAAAAAATGAAGTGGTGGTTTGGTGGGTTTTTTTTTTTTTGTTTGGTTTTTTTCTGGTAGTTTTCTGTGTTTGCTTGTTTGGGTTGGGGTTTTTTTGTTTTTTTGTTTTTTAATTTAAGATGTTCCAGAGCAACTTAATCTCTACCTAGACCTAATATGCAATCTAGAGACACTAGTTCAAAGTATTATGTCTAAGAAACTTATAAGTAGCAGGCTGCTAATCTTTTCCAAATATCAACCAGGATTGTCCTATTCTATCCACCCTGTTTTTTCAGCCTATCTAAGTAGCATCTCTCATTAGGACCCAAAGTACATAAATATAATAATATATCTGGAAAGACAGAAACTGGCATAAATATTTGGAATATAGATACATTTATGAATGAATAATTAAGTACCTACTGTGATGTATTATTGTCGTTTTCATTCTTTGCTTTCTTGTATGCTAATTAATTAAATTGAGTAATTTGGCTCTTCCAGTAATTAGTATGAATTAATTAGGTTCTGCTGTATTTGTAATCTGGTAGAATGTACGCTGGCAGAAGTTACTTCTGCAAACCATAAATTTCAAGTAATAGCAGCTAAAGAAGACATAAAGCAGAACACTTGCTGCAAGGTGGATTCAAAGAGTATAACCATAAAGAAACTCAAACCCTAATGCTCATATATTTAATCAGCTTATGTAAGAATGTATAATTTTGTGTTACTGTTTAGTTTGTAATAATCTGTTTATTGCTTATAACTCTGCAGGAGTCCTTTGCTGAACATTTAGGCTACTCAAATGGTGTCATCAATGGGTAATTCCTTCATTTTTTCTTCCTATTCATGTTGTTGTATTGGAACTAATGTATCACATTCTTTTTCTGGAAGGTACATGCTAACAAGTTCAAGCAGTTTATGGAAGGGAAGAGGCACATATCTAAAGCAAAAGATAACAGTACTAGCGGTGTTACATGAGCTTTTTATAAGCCTCCATCTCTTTCAGGAAGACATGCAGAGATACTCACGTATCCCATATCCTTATTTTGAAATAGCTTAGGTAACATCTGAAATTCATTGGAAATGACTCTTCAGAGACAGCAGTTGGAATTTTCTTCTCTTTCTTGTGACTTTTGTCTTCTGATTTTCCATCTTTACAATCTTTATTCTGAATTAAAGTAGCATTTCTCCCATTATTTGAAATGAAACAAATGTAAATTTTTTTTCTTGGCATTTCTGTATGCACCTGCCTAGAAATCACAGAATTGTCAGGGCTGGATGGGACCTCTGGAGATCATCTAGTGCAAGGCAGAGCCACCTAGAGCAGGTTACATGGAAATGTGTCCTGGTGGGTTTTGAGTATCTCCGGAGAAGGAGACTCCACAACTTCCTCAGGCAGCCAGTTCTTACATCGCTACCCTGAACATAAAGAAGTTCTTCCTCATGTTGAGGTGAAACTTCTTGTTTTTCAGTTTATGGCCATTGCTCCTTGTCCTGTCACTGAGCACCACTGAAAAGAGTCTGGCACCATCCTCCTGGCACCCACCTTTGAGATACTTACATGCATTAATCAGATTCCCTCTCAGTCTTCTCTAGACTGAAAAGGCCCAGCTCCTGCAATCTCCTCTCTAAGAGAGATGCTGTGGACCCTTCATCACCTTCATAGCCTCCGCTGGACCTTCTCCAGTAGCTCCTTGTCTTTCTTGTGCTGAGTAGCCCAGAACTGGACACAGGACTCCAGATATGGCCTCACCAGGGTCAAGTAGAGGGAGAGGATCACCTCCCTTGACCTGCTGGCCCCAGATGGTGTTTGCCATCCTGGCTGTTAGGACACACTGCCGGCTCATAGTCAGCTTGTCATCCACCAATACACACAGGTCCTTCTCAGCTGAACTGCAGAAAGTCAGCCACCAACTTGTACTGGTACTTGGGGTTCTTTCTCCCCTGGTGAAGTGCTCTATGCTTGCCCTTGTTGAACCTCATTAGGTTTCTTTCCATGCAGTACTCCAGCCTATCAAGGTCCTGCTGAATGGCAGCACAGCCTTAGGTGTATCAGCCGTTCTCCCCACACACAAGAAACGTGTGCATCTACCATCTGACCCCCTTCCTGTTCAGGTCTTAATAACTTGTTTTGTTAACTAGTATACCAGATTATTTGTCTCCTTTCCTAGTATACCAGATTAGTTGTCTCCATAATAGTTTAGCTGATCACATATGTGTGCATATCAGTAGGCCATGTATCTTGTGGACTTACATATACCATTGCTAATGATAAATCATATTTTGAGAGTACAGACCCAAGGTTAGAAAAAAGTTATATGAAATTTATTTTTGTAAGGTGTATCACTGTGATGCTGATTTAGACATACTGTTTTATTCATTTTCTCAGTTACAGCTTGAATTTTGGTGCTGTCTGTTTTGCAGTTCATAGCATAGAAGACAAGAGCAGCTAATCAAAGCAACTAAACATTGTTCAGGACTACCAAAGTTACATGGCTAAAGAGTATATCCTTTGTCAAACTCCTCCCATTATTTCTGTATATTAGTTCTGTTTGAAATATTTCACACTCTTGTGCATAGTCACTGAGTGGAAAAGGAATTGTTTCAAACATGTGCCTGATGAATACAGCTTATAGCTGCAGTAAATGCGGTTTAAAAGCAAAACTAGCAGGTGAATGTCTTAACTGATAAAATGCTTACCTAGCTGAGAACTAATGTTTTTTTTTTTTAATAAATAATGAAACAGAATAGAGTTTCATAATGGAAGGTATTCTATGTGGTTGAAAGTCCACACATTTTCTGTAACTGAAGAAAAATCCTTTCCGAACGGGAGTTCACAAGGATGTTTATTTTTTCATTTTAATCAACGTAAATATTTTTAAAGAGAGAAAAGTGCTATTAGTAATTTTTATCTAAAGTAAATTAATGTCTCTGTTGTACTCTGACATAATAATGATCAAAAACTTTTCTAAATGACATTTTATTCTGGCATTTACTGTGCTTTCTCTCTTCAACAGAGCCGAACTTTATCGGGCCTCAGGGAAGTTTGAGCTGCTCGATCGTATTCTACCAAAATTACGAGCTACTAACCATCGTGTGCTCCTTTTCTGTCAAATGACATCACTCATGACCATTATGGAAGACTATTTTGCCTTTCGAAATTTCCTTTACCTACGTCTTGATGGTAAGCTACATAAAAAAAAAACAGATGATAAGTTAGGAGGTAGCATGCTTCATTAGTTTGGGCTTTTTGACACTTTTATCTGTTTAACCTGCAAACCATTTGTTTGAGGGGTTGTTTTGATGGACACTCAGGTCTGTTCCTGGAATGCAGATTATATAGAGATTTGATGTTCAGGGGCTGATCTCTTCTTCAAACAAGGTTTAAAAATCGAAGGGCCCAATCAGTTGTCACTGTGTAAGTTGTCTGAAAGTATTCTCATGATGAGAGATGACAATGCCAGTGTTTTGCCTAGATTCTAGCGGAATTGATTAGTTTGTACCTGATTAAACTTCAACCGCTATTCTCCACAGGATAACTGAATTTCAGTGACAAGTAAAGTACTTGTAGTTTTCCTGAATTTCATAGGAGGGTCAGTAGCCTCTATTACTCTATGTGTAGATATGTTTTATTACCTTTGAATGAAAAGATTATTTAGAAACATAGTGGAGTATTGAAAGGAGAATAGCTAAAAACAGCATATCCTATGTGAGGCTTAAACCTGTTTGAAAGAAGTTTCCATTTTGGCTTTTTTCCATGTTGATGATCTCTGCCTCACACTGACCTTCTTAAATATTACTTTTACTTCATATGTTTATCTCACACATTATAGTAATTACATAGGCCAGCAGCATTTATCAGACTAACGTTTTAATAGAAAAACAATGATTAATAGGAACATGAAGAATAACATGACTAAAATGAGACTTTAAGGTCCTTTGAATATTCTTTTTACAACATTTCAAGTCGACTCTTTGCTTCATGCTTTATTTGGAAGAAAAGGTAAACAAAACTAGAAATGCTGTTATCCTCAAATGTAAAATGGAGTAATGAAACTCAGACGCAAACGAGCTCTCTCACTGTGCCATAGGATGTTTTTGTCAAAACTGGCAGAAGAATATAGTACTGTGTTAGCAAAACCCTCCTTGCACCTCTGGCCTGCTAGTGTTTTAATGCTTCCATTCAAGAAAGAGTAGTTATATTACAGTTAAAATATTTTAAATTACCTTAGACCATGTATTTTAAAATTAATTCTTTTTCATGTATAATGTCTGTGGAAATATACAGTATGGTAAATACAGTTCCTTCATTTCATTAAGGTTTTGCAGGTGATCCATTAAATCAGTGAGATGAACTGTTTTTTCTTCTTTTCCAGTTTTGTGATTATAGATTATCATCATTCTATGCTGGCATGTATATGTAGATTCTGTCCAGCTGTCTTATCACATGAAGGTGTTTTCTACCCAAGTCATGTGCTTTTTAAGAGAATGGGTTTCTGTGGGCCAGCAGTTTGGCTATGTGATTGTACTCGTATGGCTGGGATGAAGCCAATTCTCCTCCTAGCAGCTGATACAGTGCTGTGCTTTGCATTTGCTAGGCAAGGTTGTTAACACACTGGTGGTGTGTATTTTGGCTGTTGATGAGCAGTGGTTGCAGAGTGTCCAGGCTTTATCTCCAAAGGACTCCTCTACCCCCAAGGCCAGTAGCTTGGGGGGTGTGCAATGACCTGGCTGTGACAGATGACCCAGGCTGACCTAAGGACATGCTTAGCAATAAAAGCTGAGGGAAATGAAAGTGGATGCAGGGGCATTCCTTGTTGCAGCATTTGTCTTCCCAAGCAATCATTACAGTTGCTGAGGCCCTGCTTTCCAGGAAGGGGCTGCATAGCTACCTATCGATGGCAAGCAGAAAATAAATTTCTCTTTTTACTTGGCTTGCATGCAGAGTTTTTGCTTTTACAAAACTGACTTTATGTCAGCCGAGGAGGTTTTCCATCTGATTTTCTCTCCCCATATAGATGAGTAAGGGGAGTGAGTGAAGGTCTGTCAGCCAGCTGGGGTCAACCTGCTACAGTAATAGAAAAGCTTCATCTTCTGTGCATACCTGAATAAAAATAGCAGAATTTCTTTGGCTTTCAATTACAGGCAGAACTATAAAAAATATAAGGCAAACAGTGGACCAGGCTAAGGTGATGCATACAGATTGTTGTCAAAGTACATGGATTTCATCCAGTCAGCAGAGTGTACAGAGCTTGGGTTTTCCTTAGAACTTTGTCTATGTTTTCACCATGTTTGAATTCCTTCTCTGCTCTCACTCTGCCATTGTGCATCATCACAATCAAGATTAGAAGTTTTGAAGAGTTTTCAATCCTTTTGCATTAATTACCACTCTGAAGGCAGCACAGACATTTTGATAAATCTCTAGGAAGGTAACTTCTAAAAATAATTAGATGCTGCTGTGACCAGAAGACATTAATCAAGCCAGAGTTTTCTTCTGTTTGTGTATACTGAATTGAAATTTATGTGAGTCCTAAAAAGGTATAACAATGTTATCCAACATTTTAAAGTCCACTTTCGAAATGTCAAGAGAAGTACTTAAAAGAGGTATTTAGAAGTCCACCTCTTAGAAGTGATAGCCGGTTGACCAAAACATTCATGGCCAGTGTTTATTCCATATTGCAGAAAATGTGGCAAAGACAGCAAAGAGCAAGCGTGCTAAAATTTCTCTTCCACTTTTACGTTTAGTAACGGACATTGTATTTCTATTATGTCAATTCACAGCTTTGTGACAGGATTGTGGGTTTTTTTGTTTCTTTCCAGGCACAACAAAATCGGAGGATCGAGCTGCTCTGTTGAAGAAGTTCAATGAACCTGGGTCACAATACTTTATCTTCTTGCTAAGTACAAGGGCTGGAGGGCTAGGCTTAAATCTCCAGGCTGCTGACACTGTCATAATCTTTGATAGTGACTGGAATCCTCACCAGGTTACTTCTATTTACTTGTCTTCATGAAATGTGCACATAATTCACGATGCTTTTTTTGGATTGTTTCTTTAAATTAGGGATATAGCTGGGGGGTGATGAGGGAAGGAATAGGCCCAGGGAAGTCATAAAATGCTGCTTTGGGAGGAATTAGCAAGGCAAACTGATGCAATCACACAGTTTTTTGGTTTCAGTCAATGAATAATTCTGTGTCTGTGTATGTTTATTATATAGGAGCCTTATAACCTGCTTCATTTATGTAGCTATACTTACTCTTTAACCTTAGGACATTAGTAAGTAGCTTCCCGTTGAGTCTTCATTAGGTAGGTTGGAATATTTTTGTAAGGGCTGTGTGGAGTGCTGTCTTGTCTCAGGAAGTTACAGGATGTATCAGTGCAGCAGTCTTGGCCTGAGCCACTGACCTTGCACTGTGCATTGGTGTGGGTGGGTAATAGTGAATACAGATTGCCAGGAAAAGACGATATCAAACCACTTTGGCTTATTTCAGAAAGCCAGAAGAGGTAACTGAAGTCTTTGTCACTTAATGTCTTCTCTTTTTTCTTTTTTTTTTTTCTTATGTAAGTGCCCTAGGCTCAGCTGTAACAGTTGTTTTTCTCCTGCTTAGTAGCTGGTGCAGTGCTTTGGTTTTGGCTTTAGTCGGAGAGCAGTGCTGATAACACACCAGTGTTTTTAGTTGTTGCTAAGTAATGCTTACTCTGATCAAGGACTTTCTCAGTCTTATGTTCTGCCACTGAAGAGGGGCATAAGAACCTGGGAGGGAGTAGAGACAGGACACCTGACCCAAACTAGCCAAAGGGGTATTCTATACCACAGCACATCATGCCCAGTATATAAACAGGGGGGAGTTACTGGGAAGGCCCACATCGCTGCTTGGGTCGGGCTGGGTGTCAGTCAACGGGTGGTGAGCAATTGTATTGTGCATCACTTGTGTTTATTGTTTTCTTTTCCTTTTCTGCTTTTAGATTTATATTCTCTCCCCTTGTTAGTTCCTTTACCATTATTACTATTGGTGGTAGTAGTAGTGTTATACCTTACACTGGACTCAGTTGTGTATATACCATATTATATTGTATTATACCGTAGTTACTGGACTGTTCTTACCTCAACCCATGGGATTTACATTCTTTTGATTCTCTTCCTCGTCACTCTGGGAGCAGGGGAGGAAGAAGCAGGGAGTGAGCGAGCAGCTGTGTGGTTTTGAGTTACCAGCTGGGCTTAAACCACGGCAGTAAATTAGATTCTTCTGGAAGTATATAATTGTGTCTTTTCAGCTGTTGCGCAAATATATACAAATCACATCATAGTCAATAGCCACATGTGAAACTAAGGGAAGTGAGACTAAAAAGAAATGAAAAACTTCTGTTTCCTTAGTTTACCATTTTCCTGTACTTTTGAGAATTATTATATAAACAAATTCTTATTGTGGCATCATCTTCACTCTTCACACATACTTCAGATAAACCTTTAGATTGCAGCAGCTGCATCACACGTAATGCTTGAGGAGGGAATTATGGGAAGGAGAGAGCTTACAATGCAAAAGCAAGGTACTGTACCAAAATAGGCAAATTAATTGCCAGTTTTCTTTTTTTTTTTTTTCTCTACATCAAGAAATTTCTGGGTTGTTAGGTAGGACAAAACTGTGGTAGTATTTTGAGGTTACGTACCCTTCGTTATTTGACTATGCTGAAGTAGAAATGCATCATTAGAAACCCATCATTTATAGGAATCAATGCATTTTGCTTTTTCTAAGAAAATATATGAAATTTTGATTTAACAAAAGAAATTCTTCACCTCTGTCCTTTCTACTTCCATTTTTTATAAGTGCAATTACCTGACCAAAGAATAAATACTTTGATTCTCATTCTTGTATAGATGAACTTTCAGTCAGTAGGATCATATTTAAGCTTTTTTCACATGCAAATATTCCAATTTAAAAGCTGATTCAACAGATTAAAAAATTTTTAGCTAAGATATTTAAGAATAATCTACAGCCTTTAGTAGATCAGTTTATGTATGGGTTTTTTCCTAGTAATTTTGTTGCTCTCTTTTACTGCAGTCAAGAAATATTTTAGTTAGGGTTCATTCTGGTTTGACAAGCCATGATCCTTGAATACAAGGGTTAAAAATATGTACATCATGAATACAAGGGTTAAAAATAGGTGCATCAGCCTTTTTCAGTCACTGCACATGCTTTCACCAAGTTTTTAGCTTACTGCACTTGCACTGTACAGAGTATGTCAATGTTTTTTCCTTTCAATTCTCCCCCTGCGGGCGTCTTGATGAAGTTTTGAGAAAGAAAACAATGAGGAACCATGAGCAATGTGAACTATGGTGTAGACTGCCTTTTGAGTACTTCCTTTTTTATACCCCCCCAAAAAAATTCAGCATTATAATGTCCTTTAAGCAGAGAGCAATTACAGTAGCACACTCAAAATATAAAACACTCTGTTCTCTGCTTAATAGGACTTACAAGCCCAAGACAGAGCTCACCGAATTGGTCAGCAGAATGAAGTTCGGGTCCTGCGACTGTGCACTGTGAACAGCGTGGAAGAGAAGATACTTGCTGCTGCAAAGTATAAGCTGAATGTAGATCAAAAAGTCATTCAGGCTGGAATGTTCGATCAGAAATCTTCAAGCCATGAAAGGAGAGCCTTCCTACAGGCTATATTAGAGCACGAAGAAGAAAATGAGGTAAGGTAGTTAGAAATAAACAGTAAGAGGATGTTTTAGGAAGTACTAAGTCATTTTTTTCATCAGTTATAAAGATTGTAATCTCCTTTGAAAGTAGAAGTGTCATCAGATTCTTACCATCCAGTCAAAGAAACAACTTTGTATTTTCTCTCTTTTTCTTTTTAATTTTTTTTTGTCACAGTAATGGGTTATAATGTAATGATTGTGATGTAATGGTTATGATTTTGTCTTAGTGTAGAATTAGGCATTGTAACTTCAACCAATTCCACCCTTTAATATTTTTGGCAAAAAATTTTATGCAGACAAAGAATTTTTCCTTAACAGATTTTAAAACAGTTCCTAAATCCAGTTTGTATGTTAAACTAAGTAATCTGATTTTCAGACATGCTGAACAACTAGTACTACCTAGGTTCAATTATGAAAGACCATGCCTACTGTGCTTCTTTTAGATCCTGGGTAAGAGTAAAAACCTGCTTTGATGTGCTCTGGGGTTAGGACAAGCCAGGAAAATAACTGTTGTCCAATCTGGATTTCTGGTTATCACTTCCTCTTTAAGAAACAATTGGTTATATAAAAACAGCTATCAAGTCTTTCTTTATAATTGTGGGAAGTGAGGTGATAGAATCACTGACTGTATGTGCCTGTGTTTTCATTGCGTTCTTCACTGGAATTGTGAGTGTGGAATGGCAAGTCCCTTCTTATGCTTGTCACTGCAGACTCTTAATGCGAACAGAATTCAGTTTTTGAATGAAAGCTGCATTTGGGAGAGAGTGTATTAACATATCAATTATATGAAGGCATACGCAAAAGAAATCTATTCTGCAGTTTTCCCCACCCATAATAGTTAAAATATCCTGTACTAGTTAAAAACGCAGAGGTTTCAAGCCTGATTTTGCCTCTGAATATGCCTTGTATGTCTGAATATGGTACACACTGAAAGAAAAGAAGATTCTATAGTTTGTGTTTCACAGGCATCCTTCGGTATGTAAAGTTTCAAAGACCAAGGAGTTTACTTCTTCAGTAGTTAAATCTTTCCTTTTGTGTAATTTTTTTGTCTTGTGAATTTAGAGAAAGCTAGTACATCTTTAAGATAGGATTTTGTATTGAGAAAGGCTGAGAAACAGTTTACCAGCAATTGTCTTTTATTTAAGGTCTGAATTCATGAATGGGATGATTTATATGTATCATTTTTGATCAAGTAAAACTAGTTCTCAAGCAGCAAACACCATCTATATGAGTAGATAGATGAACTTGAAACCAATAGAAATTTTCAATAGGCCTGTGGATTTGTTTTTAAATTTGACATAAATACGTTACGTTTTCAGAGCTCTAGAAAATACTTATCTGAAAATGTTTCAAAAGTTAGAACTGTGGTTCAGGCCTACTTGACATGCTTTATTTCATACATGGCTTCAGAGCAATCTGCTTCTTGTGTGTTGTTCAGATGCACTTAATCTGCTGTCCTGAGCAAGTGCAAATTTAACTGATTGCCAGTCAGTCTTTAAACTAAGCATTAGTATTGCAGTCTGACTCCTAACAGGCTGAAGTTGAAGATTTCCAATAAAATTTCTTTGTGGACAGAGACCATGCAAAACTTTGCCTAAACACTGAAAATGCTGATGGAGTAAGAGGGTTTGAATTTGCACTATCCAGCCCTGGTCAGCCATTCCTTCTTCATTGCAACAGCACTGAAAACAAAGTTTTTAATATTGAATGAGAGATAGCAGTACTAGATAAAGCAAGGAGGTAATTTGTGTGTATTTAGAAAGATATATTGGAATGACAGGAATGTATGACTGGTCATTTGAAGTAACTTGGAGGCTTTTTTTTTTTGTTGGAATGGGTGTTAATTTTTCTTCTGCCAAGGTTTCTTCCTGGTTGGCAGCAGGATTAGTCAAACCAACCACAGATGATGCTGACATTGTGGCTTGTGCTGTGGGATCCCTTATTTTTTTCAGGTCACAGGTTGCTCTGTTTGAAGTGACAGGGAGCATGGAAAACTTTCATGAGGGTGACTTTCTTCACTGATCATAAAAGAAAGGATCTGTACTCTTTTTTTCTCTCTGTGTGTAACTATGTTAATTTCCTTATTTGAACATTGAAGGAGCACTAGCTAGAACTGGGAAGAACTAGCTCTCTACCATTTTCCCAGTCCCTTTTTCCATCTTAAAATTTAAATTACATGTTCATGAAGCTACAGAGGCATTTGTTGCAACTTGCATTAATAAGAACTATGGTTTATTTTCTGAGGTTTAGAAATCTTGCCAGTAGAAGGAAAATGAGGTTTGTGGATATAGGTAAAGGTATTTATGTTTATTTCTGGAAAAAACAAAAGCTACATAACATTATTTTTTTTTGGTGCCATATGCAGCATTCTGTACTCTCATTTCACAGAGTACAAAGCATGAGTTTTCATGAAAAATTTGAAGTCTGCAGCAAACTGTAATACAGGTTCAGCAAGCCCTATGCAGGAACCAGTATGTTCCAGTGTAACAATGTGTTTTGTTTGGGTTTTCTTTTTGGTTTTTTGTTTTTTTTTTGTTTTTTTTTTTGTTATTGTTGTTTTTTGTTACTGTTGTTGTTTATTTGTTTTTTTATTTCACCCAGACATTTTCATTCTTCTTGCTTTGACAGCAAAGACCTCAAGATGCAGAGTGGTATTTCTGAGGGAGTACTGTAAAACAGCAGAACGGAAATGCATATATTTTAACTGAAGCACTAACTGTGCTTCTGACCCAGGAAAACCACAACCCAAAATTTCCTGATTGCGTATTTGCTCATTTCCTCATTCTGAATTCATGAAGGTGGTAATAAGTCACATTTGTCTCTCTGATTTATGTCCATTTTGTGTTACTTCTGACTTGCTGAATACTTTAAAAGCTTTAGGTTCATTTTGCATGTTTCACAGGTTTTGTGACAGAAGGAAGGTCAGTAAGACTGACCTGATGGAGGCTGTTACTTCAAATTGCATGTAGCTTCTTTCTAATACCTTTACCCATGTGTGTAACCAGGAGGAAGATGAAGTTCCTGATGATGAGACTCTGAATCAGATGATTGCTCGACGAGAGGAGGAATTTGATCTCTTTATGGTAAGGGTGATATTATCATAAGTATAGTATCTTCTGTGGTGTTTTTGACAAAGGCCTTACCCTTTTGTCGTGCAAATTTTAGAAAACTTCGTTGGAGGAATAGGTTTTATTTACTTGCATTGTTTGTCTGAAGAAATGACAGTAGTCTGCTTTAATAAAGGATTCTTCACAGGACAGAAAGACTTCGGAGATCCTTGCAGACAGTGTAGTGGAACAGTGACAGCCTGGAGGAAGAGTTTGGCATGATCTGAGAAATTACAGTGCAAAGCTAATAGTCCCAGTTTGGCTTGCTAATACTACAATATACTTTAATTTTTCAACATTTCTTCTGACTTTTGGTCTATGATATTGGCGAAGACAGAGATGGGAACTTAACAAGATAGTAAATTAGTGGACTGATTAGTGATTAGTGGACTGACTTTGTGAGCTAACTGGGTTTGCTGATGGTTTTGTCAAAGGCCCAGTTAGCTGTATCTCTGCTGCTACAACTGTCTAACAGTTACTGGAGTAGAGCTAGCAACTGGTTCAGATGCAAGCAATGCAGTTTTATTAGTACTTTCTTTTTGTTAGCGCTGCTACAATAATGATGGAATAATTACTAAAATGTCAGCATAGGCATGGCTCTTGCCTTTTAGTGTGTGTACAGTGTGGGGATTGCTGGAAGACCTTTGAACATCACTGACACAGCAACAGGAGAATACTTTTAAGTATTTATATTTATTTATTATACTTTTAAGTACCATCCCTCTAATACTACATGGTGTGCTTTGTTCTGCAAAGTGAAACAAGAAAGATACTCATATGTATATGAATGAAAGTATATTGGGTGGTATCCACAGAAACAACCATTGATAGTGCAACAGGTTTTTAATGTCTCCAGGATTCACCTGTAAAATGTCACTGTACACAAGTGTGCAGGGGTCCTTTTACAGAAGTGCAACAAGCCAAAGTGGGACCTGTTGGTTCAGGTGCACAGCTGGCAAAGGCCGTGTGTCCCCCATGTGGCCAGTGCCTTCTGTCATTGCTGACTTGACAGTTTAGCCCTCTTGTGCAGTTTCACTGGTTGTTACCTCAGAAGAGCTGAAACCCCTAAAGCTAGGCTGCACAGAAAAGAAGTGCTTACGAACACCTGTCTTTTAAAACTTTCCTTCAGTGATTTGCAGGCAAGGAAACCAAGAGGTGGTCCTTTCATCCAAAATGATAAATTTCAGCCAAACTATTTGCTGAAAGTACCTTGAGTTCTACAAAAACGGATCTGCTGCTGTAAAAAGCTTCTCAGTACTTCGCCTTCAGACCCAGAAGGAAAGAACTAATCCGTGGATTGAAAGTATCTGATGAATTTGTCTATTTACAGCAAAAGTCTGCAATGTTACCTTTTTGGATCAAGTTTGAAGGCTGTTAACCATTCAGTTAAACAGTTGAGGGCCTAGAGTGAAGACAGTTTTAGCGCTGTGTGGGCTGAATTTATGCTTTTCATACCAATTTACATGAAAGTTTTTATGGGAGAGTAAAGAGTTAGTAGTAGGTAATAAAAATTTGAAGATGCACAGCTAGCATGCTTTGAAAGCCAGGGGTTTGAAAATACTTGATAGAAACAGTGAAGTTAAATATTAACTGGCTAAAAATAATTGTTAGTAATTTTTTTAATTATTATTTTAATAAACTGATTAGAAAAGTCTGAAGAATAAGTTTGACAGTCAGGGTTGTTTGTCTTATTTTTATCAATATTTCAGGTCTTGCTTAGTCAGATAAAGGGCACAAACGAGTATACGTTTATATACTCGTTACCTCAGTGATATTTGTGGAACCTCATTCCCTATGTGTTTTGGTGTGTTTGTTTAACTAGGCCTAGAGGTGTTAAAGCATGTATTCTGCTTATTTAAAGTGGAGACAGTTCCAAAACAGTAGGCAAGAGAGTAGATGGGTTCCTTGAGAACCTGTACTGTGTTCACTTTTCATGTTAGAAGTATTTTTTGGTGTAGATCTTGAAATGTAGCTGTAGAGCTAAATACAGTGTTCCGAAAGAAGATGTGTGCAAGTGGGCTATTAAACAATGACATATATAACAATAGATAAAAAATACTTGGTAAGGTATGGGAAGATAGGACCAGAGGTTTTCCAGAGATAAAAGTAGTTTGAGTTAGTATCCTGAGAAGAAACAAATGGTTGGATGTATCTTTTAGTCTCAGTGTGAGAATGTCTTTGGTTTTTCTTCCCGAGTGCTTTTACTTCAGAAAACAGCTACAACATATACTGCCTTAGTGTTCAGTATTTGTCTTAGAGTTATAAACATGGTCATCAGGGATAAAAAAAGAAGTTCAGCATTCATTTCATGTACTTATTATAATACGATGTCCCTGACTTCACTGGAGTTCTCTGGTAAACAATAGAGAAATCTATCCCATCTATCCCATTTGGGCCTTCTCTCAATGCAGCTTGCTGGTTGCCAAGTTAACAATAAACCAAGCCAGTTGTCTGGCTGGGATGAGAAATTTTTTGAAATTAATTCAGATTGAATGAGGTGTTCTTTAAATGATGAAATACAGAAGTCTGCTCTAAAACACTAAAGGCTATACAGCCCATTTGTCATTGTCTGAGGTAATGAAGGACGGTGAAAACCCACATGTATTTGTAGTTGCATCTTGAATGTAGTTGGGCCTACAGACTGAAGATGCGCATCTTGCATTCTGCTTTTCACTGAGTTTAGAAATCAGATTGGGCAACAGACGAGATAATAAAGACGGCTTGTAAGATGCTGTGCCTGAGGTAGTATTACAGGAATCTTTGTATTTGAGAAGTGTCAAGATGAAAGAAGATTGAGCATATTGAACAGTGCCATCGTTAAGCCTCGGTTGGTAAATTTGGCTGGATTTGAGTTGCCTCTATAGATAGATAGTATCTCTGAATTTATGCATATCTGTGTCTTGGATGGATATATGAAAGGATGATATGTCTAGTTAGCATCCTGTATAAGCGCAGCATCATGCACACAAGGGGTTTGTGCATATCTGAGAACGCTTTTTACAAACGTCTGTGGGCCAAAGCAGTAGCCTGTTGTGATGCTACAGACAATTCTGATGCCAGTCTATTTATGTTAATTTTTTAAATATGGAAACTAAGTGCTTGGTGGCCATCTATTTGTTTTCTCTGCTTAGCAACTTACTGCTGTTTCAGTACTTCAAAAGGCCTATTTAAAAGGCTATTCATATTACCTGATATGGGCTCCTTAAAAAATGCAAATGGGATTCACAGGACCATAGAAGCCCAGGTCAGCATATAGTCAATAGAGAGAGGTGGATGTTTCCCTCAGAGGATTATAAAGCACCTCACTGGCAAATATACAGTAGGCCATTTAAATGTATCCTCAAGTGTCCATATCTGTTGTATGAGGTGATTGTTTACCACACTTGAAATAAATTTATGTGATAATTTCAACTTCAGCTTAACATCTTAACATTACTTTCAAATATTCTTAACACTTTACCTAATCTTATCTGACATTTTTATATGTTGGTTTTGGTTTTTTTTTTGGCCTAGTATAGCAATAAGATCAAGAAAAATTCAGTTCTTTAAGCATGTTTGCTTTAAGCATGGCTGGCACTGTGTAGGCAAGATTTTTTCTGAATTCTTCTCTCCATTCCCTTTTTCTAATACTAGCTTCTAAGTTTTCTTCTGATATCCAGGCTCACAAAACTAGTGTGTTTTCAGTTACTCTTTCTAGTTACGTAACACCTCATGAGAATGTTGTAAAGGCATGATTAGTTATCTGCAGATCACATTTATGAATACAAAGAAATCATAAAACCTGTCCTGAAAAGGAAAAGATGTGTTTAATTAACACAAGTGTTCTTGTGATCTGCTTTGTATCACTTAGCTGCTGCTAAGTTGTCTCAGTTACCTCAGTAAAAGCTAGTTATGGAGTAATGAACTTGACTGAAAATCATCAAATGTAGCTACTTTTTATAGCTGCATTTAAAAAGTATTTAGAAGATTATGGACGGGGAATACCTGCAAAGGACTTGGTTTAAAGTTTCAGATAGCCAGGGGTTTCCATGGTCCACTTAATATTTGCCCTTGAAATCGTTTTATCCTTTTCCAACTGCCATTGTAGCGCATGGACATGGACCGTCGCAGGGAGGATGCAAGAAACCCCAAGCGTAAGCCCCGCTTGATGGAGGAAGATGAATTACCATCTTGGATTATTAAGGATGATGCTGAAGTTGAAAGGCTTACATGTGAAGAAGAAGAGGAGAAAATATTCGGAAGAGGATCCCGTCAACGCAGGGATGTGGACTACAGTGATGCTCTTACAGAGAAACAGTGGCTGCGGGTAGGTTATCCCTTTTTTGTCCTTCACAGTTGAAATTTATTCATTTGTGTTGTTTCTTTTTCCTATTTGAAGACTGCAGTTGCACCAGGAAGAAAAAGCACAGTATTATAGTCAAGGCCTAAATATTCTTGTTATTCAGCTTTTGCTGCTGTGTTGAAGGCATAAGTAGATTTTAAGCTGCATTGCTGAAACTTAAGTCAGTGTTATTAAATGCTGAATCAGGATAGTTTTTTCATGTAATTATTCTGTTGCCATGAATCTTGACATATTTCTTACATCTTAATTCCATAAGTGCTGTCTTAAAGGTGTATCAAGAATGCTTTCACAGTGAAAGAAGACCAGTGATCTGGGTATATTACAGCTTTCTGTGCTGCAGAAGCTTCATTTTGTTACTGTTTTTAAACACCTCTTAAGAATTTGGAAACTTTGACCAGTCTTTTTTCTCTCATACTGTTTCATATCCAAGTCCTGAGCATTTCTTAGCTCCATTGAGATTAAGACTCTTGATAAATGATACAAGAATTTAAATAAAGATTCTAAACTTAACTCACACCAAATCTGTGATTTTGCTGTACTTGAAGATTTCTGCCATTCTTCTGTGAAATACACATCTGATGAATTCTAATGCATGTACCTTTTCAGAATGACAGTAATGGGTGGTAAGGACATGAGGATTGATTGTTGGAAAGTCTTTTCAAAACCAGGAAATCTGTTTCTAACATATCTCAAACAAAGTTGTTGACATATGGACAGTGAGACTGATGCACCCTCAGCAAGTTTGCCAGTGACACCAAGCTATGTGGTTTGGTTGATACGCCAGAGGGAGGGGATGCCATCCTGAGGGACCTTGATAGGCTGGAGAGATGGGCCAGTGAAAGTGTGCCAGTGTTCATGGCAGGTTGGACCGGGCTTTGAGCAACCTGGTTTAGTGAGAGGTGCCCCTGCCCATGGCAGTGGTTTTAAACTGGATGATCTTTAAAGATACCTTCCAACCCAAATCATTCTGTGATTCTTTGATAATGTTATGATTTCCAAAAGATATCGGTAAAACACTGTATGTGCAAAACTAGTCCACATCGATGGACAGAGGTGAGTTTTGTCATAACGTAATTACAGACCTAATGCAGCATGTACAGTGTAGGTTTTGTGTACAACTTACTACAAATGCATAGAAATCTTACCTACTTCCGTTATAAATGTGATGATTTTGAGAGTGCATTGTGCAAAACTGTGCTAAGAGCTAATTGAGTTTCTGCTGCTGCTTAGGGAGCAAGTTTTGCATTATACATCAGCTGTAAGTCTAAGCAAGTTTATGAAACTGCAGTAGTTTGGTACTTGGTATTTTCAAGTAGTCAGTGGAGAAGAAAGACCTAGAAACATAAACTTCTATCTCGAACATTTACCCATTACCCATTACTCCTACAGTGGAGTTGATAGTGTACATCTACTCAAGGTCATTTTAAGCTAATTATTTTTAATGATGGAATACTCTCACTATGGCAACATACACTTCACCTTTGGCTTTTATGGTTTTTGTCCTGAGTTGTTTATGATGTTTGCGTTAAGCACTTCACTGTCAAAAATGCCAGCCCTGAAATATCATCTGATCCATCTTCCTACTTAGGGTGGAATCAGCCACCCCTGTATCCTTTATACTAGATATTCATCTGTTCTTTAAAGCCTTTCATAATAGTGAATTTAGAAGGGGAGTGTATTTACCTATTCAGCTTTCCTTTGTATTTAATCTGAATTTTCCTCTTGGCTTTTAAGCCAATTACTTCTTGTTCTGATCACTCTGGTCATGCGGAACAGGCTGCTGCTTTTCTTTTTTCAACATTTCTGTGTGTCTTAGAAAAGATGTTTCATTCTTCAGTCAATTCTTGAGGTTAACAACCACTGCTCATTCATTCTTCTCCCATAATAGCAGTTTTCTAGATCTCTTGATTGTTTTCACTGATTTCCCCTAGCTGCTCTATGTGTGACCGACGCATTTCTACAAGTTTGGCCAAAAGCTAGGCAACAAAATTCCAGGTGCAGTGCCATTTCAATGAGGAGGTGGAGTTCTCTTGCATAATTTCTAGGATAATTATGCCTTATAATTCAGTATTTCATTTTTTTAACGCTAAAGGTATTGATTTATGTTAAATTTTTGATCCATTATAACCCCTTAATCCTTTACTGTGGATCTACTTCCTGGCCAGATTTTCAGAGTCATGTTTTGTGTAGTTGATTTTTCCTTCCTAGTAAGAGGATTTAACATACGCCCTTGTTGAATGATATCCAAGTTTTCTTCACCAAAATTACTCGGAATTTTAAGCCTGTCCTCAGGCGAACTCCTGGCAAGCTTGGTGTTCTTTGTAGATTTAGTAGGCATACTTCCTATTCTGTCTTCCTGCAGACACTTAAGAGCACTGAAGAACACTGCACCATTTAATAAAGAGCCATTAAGGACTATTGAGGAAACAATTTCTTACCAGTTCTCTGTTTTTTTTCATAGCAGCTGTTTTCACTGCTTCTGAGACTGTTGAGTGAGGTCAGGTCAGAAAATTTGCTAGTCCAGAGATACATATGCTACCCCTTTTTCAACATGGCTTGTTATTCTGTTGAGAAAAGTTTTCCTTTTCCTCCCTATGCAGTTGGTAAGCATGTTCTCAAATTAGCTAAGCTGAAGCTAAATCATATTGCTTCACAGTGCATTGCAGTCACTATTGTGAGTCTATTGTATATATACTTATATTTTCAGGTGAATTTGGGAGTATGTTGAAACAAATGCAATTGTAAGAACTGTCTGTACTTTTAGACTTCAGAGTAATTATAATGTACCACTGCTTATGCAGGTTCAGAATTAAAACTCCAGTGGCTGGATACTGAAATCTTAGTCAAGTTTTCTGTGGTTTTTCATCTTTATTTGCTATGTGTTTGTATGTGTGTGTAAAAGACACACAGAAATGGGAGTTCTTTGTCACACCCATTGGCCTCCCACCACCATCAGTTTCAGGTCTTTGAGAGTGTGTTTGTCTTTTTCTGTAGTACATTCTCTGGAAAGTATAGAAAAAGCGGTAATAGTCTTGTACATTTTCAGTGGAATCTTCGTAGAAACATACAAAATTGTGGTAGATAATTGATGATCGTTTGTAACTTGTGGTTTCATCACTATAACCTGTAACAATATTATGAATTAATTATTTTGTGTTAACTTGGATGCAGTGAACTACTTAGGTCAGTAAAACTGCAAAAAAGGGCCAGTAAATTCTGAATTAAGAATAGTACATTAATTCATAAAATACCCTTTTACCTCATATTCTGTATCATGCACTCTCCAAAACAACTATAAATGCTTCTATTTTATTGCAGTGTACAGAAGAATGAGATTTATGTACTAGCAGCAAGTGATTCCCTTCATTGTTTCTTTTGCTATGGCTCCTCTTACAGCTTTATAGCTGTCTTCTCATGGGGTTTTCTGGAGTAAAACTTTGCATTTCTGACCAGTAAGTTGGTTTCATAATACCGATATCCAGTCCTCAGCTGTGTCTTTTATATTATGTGTCTTACGGAAGTTGGTTAGATCTCTTTGTTTCTGAGGAGTTTTGCCTCAGTCAGCAGCCACAGCTCGGACTGTGGTGATCAGCTGCCTGCTCCTTTTCAGTTAGATCCTTATCCCTCTGTTGATGCACCCAACACTGAAGTATTTAGTTAAGGTCATGGCAGATCCCCACAGAATCTGCCACACATCTCAAGGTTTGTATGCACGCATGTATGCTGACCAAGTATACCAGCTCCCTGCTTGCTAGGAGGTCAAGTACCTGAGTTTGGAAGGAGAAGACAAAATAATTACAGAAGCCAAACCTGTGAACAAACACAGTGTTCAGTAAGATTGTGCTGCTGGCCTGAGCAACCTGTAATTCTGTAACAGCCTCCCAGGGAAGCTGTACGACACAAAGGGCTTCATCACTAGCTGTCGCTGCAGCCTGCTGTTCTGTAGCTGTTGGCATGACAACCATATTTTCTAAAAAAAAAAAAAAAAAGCCAAAAAAAAAACGAACCAAAAAAAACCTCCACAGAAACCACACACAAAAACACAAAGGAGGAGTTTGCTTCCTGATCCTATGAAGCTTTTGTAATCTTGAAGTATTTCATGCTTTAGCAGGTTCTGTCCCTTCACCACTTCTAACAGGACTGCAGAATACTTTCCTGGATCCCATAGCGGGTTGTTTTATAGAGGAGTCATCTACTAAGGGCTCCATTGCTTAGGACAGGCTTCAAGAATCTGAGGATTTGTTTGAGTAGTTACAAGACTCTTAATGAAATTGCACCTGGATTCAGCTTCTAACTCAATTTAATTGCTGCAGAGGTGATATGAATGAAGTTTTCTTCCCTAGTTGTGCAGTTTATTTGAAATAGCTTACCATGTTCGCCAGGGAAAAACTCGAGTCCAAAACAGTGTCTCATTTGCCTCATGCAGACATGCAAACACATCAGCTATTGTGGGCTACTTGTTTTGCTGATATAAAAATTGTAAGTGAAATTCTAGCATTTGGTCAGTTTATTAAATTTAAAGAAAACCACTGGTGGTTTTCACACATACAGAATATCTGGTGAATAGTTTTTAACAAAACTGTGACATAAATTTTCTCTTTTGTTTCTGTTTGCTGATAATGTGAATGTGTTGTTTAATAAATCTAAACGCTAAATGTGTTTTCAGCTGTTTTCCTCATCAGCTCGAGCGCTGCATAAGATTTTGCTTGTACATACTCTCTAATAGTTAAGAATTAAATCTGGCACCAGAAATAGTATAGCTGGGCCAGCTTGTTAATACAACTTGTCATGAATTACCGAATGCTTTTCAGTTAAGTTTGTATTTTCTGAGAAAGCCTCAATTTTATGTATACAACTTTAGTATCGAGACTAAGAAGATATTTTAAGACATGGTTTGGTAAACTTTGGTAGTGAAGTTTAGTCTTACAGTAGTCTTAATTAAATACTGAAATAGCGGTACAAAA